CGCGCCAACTTCGATAACAAAGAAAACAAAGTTCAATCAGCGTTCAGGGAGAACAGAAATAGTAACATGTTGCTTTTGACGAGATCGTATTATTTGCAGAACCCGTACCACCATCAGCACTTATTTTCTATGCCCAAACAGTCGATTCAATGCACATTTTAATCAATATATTTCGAGCTTAATTCTAGGGAAAAGGACAATGCATGGCTCTTCTTTACTGAAAAACAACTTTTTTGAAAGGTTGTAGAAGTATGGAAAACAACTAACAACCAGCATAGGCCATATGCCCATTTTTTTCTGATTCAAAGCTTGAATTATGTTTCAAAGCTTAGAAACGTTTCTTTAGCATTTCAATAGTTTTATCAAACCTTTCTCGGACACAAATGTGAAAATCGATCGTGTCAAAAGAACCATACACAAAATGGTGCTGTAAAAAGCCTACTGTAATACGTCCTTGTAAAAAGGGCATTATCTAAAGCAGGACAAGAGTTACTTTATTCTGAATTTCCAGTTGTCTGACGCATCACATTAGCCTTAAAAACCCTTCCTATGCCAACAAACATTCTATGCCAAGTTTTCCTTTCAGTCAAAATCAATCAAGTGACTGTTTTCAAACAGTACAAGAGCTTCCAGCCTACATAAAGCAGGATTGACTGGCTGTGACTGCCCATGTAACGTGATACAGCTATGCTTTTACTGTATAGGTGATTGATGAGCCAGCTTTGCCTACCTATCTTGTCTGCTTTGGTCTGTTGACTGTGCAAATGGTCCGTGGTTGACTGAATTTGACTAGTCACATCTAGTGCTTGCTCGAAATATGATCTGACTGTTGGTGACTAGCCTGTGTAAAAGACATGGCAGGGGAAGAGGATTCATTTTTTTGACTGTCTGTGCCTGTTCAGATATCAAGAGGGTTTAAGCAAACCCCTCCTCCTCCTCAATTGACAAGACCACCCCCACAAACATGACATCCTAAAAGATGAAACAGTCATAGGGGACAAGACAAAGCAAAGAACCGAAGATTCCTGATGTATGACCAACACCCTGCAGTGTGTGGAAACACGATGAGCATCATGTTTAGCAAGCATTACTCATAAGAAAATCATTGACGAATGAAGTCATTGGTTAAGAATGCGCGTACCTGGATTCTAACCGCAAAAACGGCCAATGGGCGGCGGCAACATGTGTTCGACTGCGGCAATTTATTCATTCCCCGGAAATTTACCACAAAAAGACAGCTTGCGTGCGTCATCGCTGAATCCTTCATAATTAAGATCAATCGATTGTAATTATCTGGTTCATATTGTCAAGCTGTTTAAATATTGTTTTTAGGATATAATGTTGTGAGTTAAAAATTGAAAGTTCTGGCGTTGACGGTCCGAGATATAGTTTACGATTAATGTGTGACTCGAATATCTTTAGACAAATCGATTTATATAAACCTCTAACGTCAAGTGTTGATAACATCTTTTCCGAATTATACTTACCAACCTTAAATGAATTTGACTAATTCTCAGTTCAGTCAGAATAATTGCAATTAAACGGCAAGCTGTTTTCTTTGTTGAAAATTCACGACCCTGCTTCGATCATTTCTCCGTGCGATCTACTAACACGGTCAAATTAATGGTGTCAAGTAAGCCCGCCCTCACTTGGCGAAAATTGTCCATTATTTCAGAAAGAGGAACTTCATGTGTATTATGCTACTCAAAATCTTGAATGTTTTTTTTCCATAACACACTGGGAAAAAAAAAACTGACAAAAATCTGACAAAAATCAAACTTCACATCAACAACGTGATCTTAAAAAAAATATTGAAAGAAAAGAATCAAGGGCATTAGTACGGAATTTGAAATGATTGAGGGTGAATGTTTCTTCAAATATTTTATTCCAGTTTTTTTTCTTTCCATTATTTTGTCTAAAGAATAACAGTCCATAATAGTTAGTATGCTATAAACCAATAATCATAACATTCAACTATAAATGATAACATCATAATTCATAAAATAACCGACGCAAAAACATGATTCATGTCGTTGTTCATATAAGTTCGACGGTATTTTGTTGATAGTTTTACGACTCGAGTAGACGACTCGGACACTGGATGCATTGTTTAATGATGTGGTTTGTTTTGACAACAAGAACAGTCGCCACTTGCGAAGTACGTAATGGGCCATTATTATTACATTCAATTGCGCCAAACATGCAGTAATATCGAGTTTACTACACAATCATCTGTCTTGTGGTTTATTTTCTTTCTTTCCATCGCGCTTGTGTAGTGATTGTGTGACAAAACAATATTTCGTCGGCAATTATACTGTAGGCAACTTGTAGTCTGATTCTAGGCCTAAATACATTGTACGGTGGTACGCCCGACTTCATAGCCCACAGGGTGAGTTTAAAAAAAAATGGCGAGACCAATTTGTGAATGAAGTTTTGCCTGTAGCACTTTCAAAATCTAGGACATGAAAGCCCAATCAATGAGCTTTCTTTTAGTGCAAGAATCATTCAAACCACTCTCGTAGTTTTCAAGTTACCGAGTTTTGAACACATACATGTACACTGTCCTGAAGACGGTCAGAGCATACTGACCGGAACGTCGAGTTTATACCTCTGGTTCTTTTCAGAACCATTCTCTTAGTTGAGAAATTATTCGCACATGGTGTTTCCGCAAACCTTTCATTATTCTTTATTCATTACATACACTGTTGTTAAAGTTCTCTCCACGGATCACAAAAAGGTAAGTGTTCTTTCAGCAAAATGTAAACAATTCAAGTGCATCCCTATGAGAATTGTTTTCGTAATGCTGAAAGAACACTTCCTTTTTTGTGATCCGTGGACAGAACTTTAAAACGGTGTTTGTGTTCAAAATTCCGTAACTTGAAAAGTGCATGAGTGATTTGAATGATTCTTGTACTATTACTTAAACAAAGCTTAAATGACTGGGCTTTAATATCCTAGATTTTGAAAGTGCAACAGTCAAAACTTCATTGAAAAAATTGGTCCTCGCGGCCATTTGGGTTTCGTTATTTTTTTTACTCACCCTGTAGTTTCGATTGACGGTCCAAACAGACTGAGAAGACCCAACTTTACCAAGTTTTATAGTAACCCCCTTAACTGGTTTTGAACATTCTTCTTTGGATTTTGAGTGGGGTGTTATTGGAAACGAACAAAATGCATGAAAAGCAAATGATATGCCTTTAAGAAAAGCACAGAAGCAAACTTACGGTGAGCATAATTCCTTACACAATTTAGAATTTGTTTTGTTAGTAATCTCCCTGTCTGTCTCACTTGGGAATTTCACTTTGCATTTAGCATCTGAGGACCCATCCCTGAGGGGTTTTGTAGTCATCAAGTCTCCTCAATCGAATTCACCCTCAAGTTCAGGCCAGCCCTGCCCCAAAATAGACGCCTTTCATCCGACCATCGTCATCAATGTGGGTGGCGGAGGCTAGCCCGCCTTACTCCGTGTGTGGCCCGGGGAAGCAGAGTCGTCATATTGGCGAAGTTATTAATCCCTCGGGGTTATTTGGATAAGTTCTTATTTCACCCCATAATTGTCCCGAGATTGACGGCATTGAATTTGGTTTGTGTCGAGGACTTGTGACATGGCGCCATCTTGTGACAGCAAACTATACACGCCCAACGGGAAATGTTTAATGAAAGTGACCCAACTTTTAATTCGTGGGATCCTATAATTCGCATCTCCACCCAATCTGAGATTCTGTCTTTTAATTCTCGCTTTCCTTTTGGATTTAAACCACTTATTTGGATGAAACTTAAAACCATAATAACATTTTAACAAGCAATTTATTTTCCGTCTGCAAGAGAGTAATTACCCAAGAGCTCTGTATTTTGTGCTTAATTAGGTTTTAGTTTGGTTTTACTCTGGCAATCAAAACATTATTTTCTCACTGAAGCATTCAGTTCTTAAATTGGACTAGGCTATGTTTCCCTTATGCAGTGTGGCGGGCTCGTTATTTCTAGGATACTCTCAGGTCTTTATCGAACCCCCCCCCCCCCGCCCCCGCTCTTCTCTTCCAGTCTGACCTATGGTTTTTTAATTACTTATTTAAAGATGTCTATTTTTATATATCGTGTATGGTCTTCTGTGTATTAAATGTAGGCTATGCATGATTTTAGTAGTAAATTTGTAAATTAAACTGTAATTTGGAATTTTGGCCGAGAAAATTTAATAAAACATTTGACTATGATTATTAACAGTTCCTCTTCTCTGTTATGTCATCTACAATGTGAAATGAATTACAAACAAGTACTTGCTCAAATATTTCCTTATTTAAGAACGGCCAAGGAAAACGAACTAGAAAGCACTCAGAGATCGCAAACCTCCGGCAAGGCTGAACAATTCCCCGCCATATTGTCAGTACACCCAAAAGAAATACTCGCACAAATGGTGAAGAATCCTTTAAAAACAATCGATTTGTACTTGTATCAAGGACCACCCCTAAAAGAAATTCATGCAAATCCGTCCATAACTTGTTAAGTTATCTTGTTAACAGACAAACCAACCAATCGGCAACCAACCAACAAAGAAACTAACCAAATCCAATGAAAACATAACCTCCTTGGCGGAGGTAATGAGAATATTGCACCACTTTTCTTGACAAATAAAAAACGAAACGTAAATCCTTTTCAGGCAAATTTTCGAGTAACAAGTCCCAAGAGATAATTATTATTGTGCGAGCATTCAGTGTCACGTAAGAAACTAGACAATAGCCAGAATTATACAAGGTCCAAAACTCACACAATGAACATAAACAGCGCCCTCTGTTTATGCATATGACAGTCAAACATCATGCGTCGTCACGTGTGCTCGCCTTTGTTGGAATATGAAACAACAGTGTGCCACTTCCAGATTATTAAATTTTCATTTTTTAAGCCAGGGGAATTATTCCCATTGAAAAAATATTATTTCCTGAATGAAGTGTGGGCCGTCTACATCTCGAACACCGAGGGGCCTGTCACCGTGTGAACTCTTGAGGGTGTCCTTCTGAATAAAACGCACGAGGATCGTTTGTGCATGTGTGTGATGCAATTTTGTAAACATTGCATTGATGAGACGCCAAAACTCAGACTTTTACTGAATTCGACAAGTTAATTTCGCTTTCAGCACCGATCCCTTAGATCCTCCGAGTGGTATGTTAACCAGTTCCATTGTGATTGTTGTTCATTGTTGTTAAAATCTGATTTAGTCTAAAATAATGACTATAGAAATTAGAAAGGATTTGTTAACGAAATGTAAGTAAGTTTGTATTCAATTTGCAGACTTTTACTGCTGATTGAATGAATTTTTACAATGGATTTAACAAGTATTCAACTTTCAGATGTGTTGTAACTTTATTATTTTCATTATTTCTCAGGTAATCATATTAAGCACACATACAGACACAAAATACAACACAAACATTTTGGATGACAGGGTTTCAAAGACTAAATAAAACCAAAGACAATATAATATTGACAACACCCCGTCTCTGATCTGGTGATTTAGTTCGTGAATTCTACAGTTCCCTTAGAGCTGTGTCTGTGAGTCATGCAAATATATTGTCAATGTCTGACTATGGCTTTGAATATTTATTGTTTACTTTTTTGTATGTTTTACCTTTCAGCTTAGATGGCAGAACATTACTACAGTCAGTGCGTAGCAGAGCTTCAATTTACGATGCCACCAAATCCAAATGAACAGCGCCCTCAAGTGTCTGTGAGGTGCACAAGAGCGTTCTGCAGGTAAACTAATCTCAGTTTAACCTGTGTACTGTGGCCACCCTATGGGAGTGGTCACAATAGACAGGTGTGGCTACTGGCTACTAGTACTACACCATAATTAATAGCCTGAATGAGGTTGTTTTTATTGCAGCCTGGAGGGTTATGGGTAGTAATACTTCGGGGGAGTGTGGCCTGGTTGTTAGGATTCTAGACTCGCGATCAGAGGGTCAGGGGTTCGAATCCAGCTGCTGGCCATATGTTGTGTCCTTGGGCAAGCCACTTCACTCCCACTTGCCTCTCTCCACCCAGGAGTATAAATGGGTACCGGCATTAGCTGGGGAGTAACCTGCGATGGACTGGCATCCCATCCAGGGGGAGTAGAAATATTCTCAGTCGTTTCATGCCAAGGAAACCGGAGATAAACGCCAGCCTGCTGGGCTATGTTGGCTCATGACAGATTTTACGTACTTTGGCCAGAAATATTTTTCAACTCCAAATGTCTTGAATGACTTCCTGAAAGATCTATAGGAATAACATCCCTGAAATTAAGTTAAAAGGAAATTAAGTTGAAGATCAGATCTTTACAGACTTGCATCAATAATAAACAGTTATTCCTTTAAAACCTTGCATAGATGTGAAAGCTAATTCAACATTTTGGTGCATATTGCACTCATTGTTTAAAAAAAAAATGGTTTCTTTTCACAGTGATTCCAAACTCTATGAGTGGGGGTTGTATGGCAAGCCTGATCCGTCAAAATACAAAGATCTGGAAGCAAAGGAGCTGGATACTGATGAAGATGAATTGGACAGAGCTTTGACTGAAAGCGACCAATTAAAATCTGGTGATGTCATCACCAACCAATTAGATGTTGTTCCTGAGCTGACCACTGAAATTTTCCAATCAGAATCAACAGGTGATGATGTCACACTGTGTAATGAGCAATATGAATATTCATCAAGCAACATCAGGGTCGATGGTAAGAACATCAGTCCATACACAAAGCCCAGTTTGCCGTTCCAGGGAGAATTTGCATCAGAACAGGAAGTGATGAGAGACATGGGCCTTCCTCTCAGTTTCGTCAGGTCGCTCCGAGATTTTGATGAGGTTTGTTCTTCATTCAAGTTTACATCAAATCCTCGTTTCCTTCCATTTGTTTGATCTGAATTTGTGGTTTTAGCAAGCAGTTAACAGTTACTAGAAATTAGGAGGTGCTGGGTTCACTTATATCCAGATTTTTCTAAGTGTTGTGTCCTTGGGCAAGGTATTTTACTTTCTCTCTCTTTAACTGTCTTTACATTGGTGCATTAAAATCATATAATAAGTTGGAAAAACAAAAACACTTTGTCATCTCCATGTTTCTAACAGCAGAATATTTTTAACGAAAAATATCTTATGGTTTAATAGATAAACCTTTATTTGAAATATTGGCAGGACGATGACTACATGCCCAAAGTGAGATATGGGAACAAGCAAGCAAACAAGAAAAACAAGAAGAAGAAGAAGCAGCAGCGAGTTTGGAGTCATGACCTTGACCCTTCCCACCATGCATCAGAGACAGATGTTTCCCATCATGCATCAGAGACAGATGTATCCCATCATGCATCAGAGACAAATGTATCCCACAATGCTTTGGAAGCTCCAGAAAAGGAAGAACAGGCACCAGACACTTGCGTTGCTCCGTTGCCTGGCAACTGGTCCACCGTCACATCAAAAGAAGATGAGTGCTGTCATGGAGACGGTATCCAGGCAACTGATGTTGCCGAGGAAGCAGATGTTGACACAGGATGGAAGGAGTATTGGGAGACATACGGGGAAACGCTCATTTGGGAGAACTGGGTCCAGAAATATCCAGATCAAGTAGTTGGCGATGGCCTCATTGAAGCATCATCTATGCAGTCAGGTGGAGAACATCAACTACAAGATGAAATGAGTGAACCTGTGAAAAATGAGAGCAATACGAACATCGTGGAGGCCATATGTGCACAAGATTTCCCCGTGTCATTTGATGAGGCGACAAAGTTTGAAGCAAATGAAATTTTGGGTAGTAAATCAAGTTTACTTCGTAAAGAACACACAGTGACTGACTTGGTTGCTACAGAGCATGTATCTGGCTCAGAAATTGAAGAACACTTACATCAGTTTCAAGAAGCCACTATTCAGTCTGTAGCTGAAGAGATGTCGACCGTTTCTCTTGAGGATTGTAAGACAACATCAACGATGAATGTTACAAATGATTCCGATTCGTTGACAAGAGTTGAGAGTGGCCCGACTGATGATCGCAAGCTTTCAGACCAGTCAGCAATTTTCCTGAAAATAACAGGGAAAGGAGAATCCTTTCCTAACAGTTGTGAAGAATTGCCAGACGAGTTCAACGGGAAAGATGCTGCACGTCAAGATTTGGAGAATGCGTCTACGCAAATTGGGAATGAAAACAGTGTCGGTGAGTTGCAGAGTAACTCATGCACTAGAAATGGATGGACTGAAGAATGGAGTCGATTGTGGGATGAACACTGTGGAGAAGTCTATTGGTACTATCACCAGTATTACCATACTAACATAAAGAACGGTGTTACTGAGAATGGAGAACATGGGTTACCAGACTGTAGGACTAGCCAATCAGAAGAGAGGACATGCTCAGTGGCTGACCAATCACAGCTGGTGCTACATTCTTGTGCTGACTATAGCCAATCATGTGAAGAGGTTGAGGACAGCAGTGACTGTACAGCCAATCAGCTCCCGTCTGATGAATCAGTGCACCAATCACAAGCTTCCAATACATCAGGTGATGCTGTTGACCAATCACAGAGAGTCAACTCCTGTAATGGCATCGATCACAACACAGAAGAGTTGAATAACTCTAATGGAAGTAATAGAGATTGTGATAATAGCTGTCGCAGTGATAGTGACGTTGACAAAGAGCCATTCGACGGAAAATCAAAACGGAAAAAGGTTTCTCAAAAGTCACAGTTGAGTGGAGATGGGGCGAACGTATCTCAACAAATAGGTTAGTTACACAGCTACTATATCCAAAACAATTTATACTTCCTTTCACACGAACCTCAAAAGGTTGGCTTCTGTTGGACTTGATTTAAATACAAACCAGTGAAAATTTCAACTACATTCGAAATCTTCCCAGATTTTTTTTTCCGACAAAAACCAGTGAAATTTCAACTACATTCGAAATCTTCCCAGATGTTTTTTTCTGACACATGAGAACTGAATCATTTTTGCAGGGCATGGAAGTGGAAGACTCCATTCCAAAGGCGGGGGTGACGGAGTTGGACATGGAGGGGATGGGGAGGAGCCACCGGAGGAGAGGCCAAGACAAATGAAGAGGAGGTCAAATTTGCTCTTTTTTTTATTCACGTTTAAAGTGTTTGCTGTATTCTCTGTGTAATATGGGCTCTACCTTCGTAATCCTGAAAATCATCCCAAATCTGGTGGATTCTGATGGGAGAGTTGAGGTTTATTACAAAATTTTTGTGGGAGAGTGTGGCCCAGTGGTTAGGGTTCGTGACTCGTGATCATCAGGTCAGGGGTTCCAATCCAGCTGCTGGCCATATGTTTGTGTCCTTAGGCAAGCCACTTCACCTCATTTGCCTCTCTCCACCCAGAAGTATAAATGGGTATTGGCATTAGCTGGGTAGTGACCTGCGATGGACTGGCATCCCATCCAGGGGAATAGAAATATTCTCTGTTGTTTCATGCCAAGGAAACTGGAGATAAGCAGTGGCCTGATGGGCCATATTGGCTCGTATAATAAACTTTACCTTACTTAATTTTCTGAGGGTTTAGATTTAAAAAGGCTACTTGTTGTTTTTCCTGTTTGTCTTGTAGCCACGAATTGGAAACTGATGGTGAAGGAGGCAGAGATGTTCTGAAACGACTTGGATTGAGCTCAGACGCTGAATCTAAGAAGTAAGTTGTATTTTCTAATCTTCCCTTAACCTTCACCAAAGCTGAGCATGATAAGATCACCATTTTTTTAATTAGTTGAATTTTTCTCAAAAGCCATCTGACAGCACTGAGTATTAAGTCCACGAGAATTTTTTTTTTTTCCCCCAAAGGTAAATTTCATAATATGAAATATTGATTGATTGTGGTATATCAGATTTGAACAGCCAGCTGACCCCTGCAAGCTTGATGGACAAGTTGTTAAGACGTCTGCACTAGTAAGCAGGAGGTCGTGGGTTCGAGTCCCCAGCTCTCTGACTGCACGGATGTTAAAATTTGCCCAAGAAATTACATCGGTGAAGGGCAAAACCCAATATTGAATTACATATCCCCAATGCAAAATTCCATCTCACAAGATCCGAAGTTGCATTTCTGTTATCAAAACATAATCATCAAAACTTATTATTGATTTTCAAAGGTTTCGAGAGCAGGAAAGGTTTTCCTCGGTCAGAGTTAAGTACATCCGGAAAAACGTCAGTAAGAAATCCAAATCGCTGAACATGCGGAAAGCTCCGATGCACATCTGGTTTGATGAGGAGGCAGGAGAGGCGAGCAATGGAGAAGCAGAGATTCAACGCGAGCGGTCAGATGGCGCAGAGAGTTTGAAGCAAGTGAAGAAGATGCCGGGCAGCAACACGATTAGTAAGGTGAAGGCATTCTTAAGTTCCCAGGGAGAGGAAAGAAGCAATCAACTGCAGAGGAAGTCAGCACCTCTTGGTGAAACGGCGGATAACAATGCGAGTACAGAAAACACCGAAAGAGGTTCCACAGAAGAGCAGAACGCAACGTCAACTTCTGTCAGCCTTGAGGATGAAACAAAGGACTCCGGTGTTTTTGTGGAACAGACATTGTGTTGGACCTCAGATCAGGAGAACTCCAGTGCTGCTTGTGGCTTGCAAAAGGATTCCGCTTTTGAAGAAATCACCGAAACAGAGTCACAAGATCAGGAATCAATGTCTGAGGCATCTAAAGCAGTTACCAAAGAGAACGGGAACTCCTCCAAGAATCTTCCACAAGACGTTGGCATCCGGGAGGCGGGGACTTCACTTGGTGCTCCTCAGAATAAGAAATCAACCGCTTCATCTCAAGATCCGAGACTTGCTGAATACCCAGAGATAAGCAGCAATCCAAGCATGATGAAATATTGGGTTCAACGCTATCGCCTGTTCTCCAGATTTGACCATGGGATTAAGATGGATGAAGGTAACGTTAATAGTAATTGGAGATTTACGAAACTCTCAGTAATTAAATAGTAAACAAATAAAAGGCAAATTGACAGTGGAACAGAAACAAACGAGTGGGGGACACAGAAGCATGGAATGGTGGAAGGAAAACACAAAAGAGGGATAAGGTAGGGCGAAGACCAGTAAACAGTAAATCCAAGATTTTTAACCAATTTTACAGTTCTTTCGCTCTTTCTTTGTTGTCAGAGGGTTGGTACTCAGTCACTCCCGAGAGGATAGCCAAACATCAAGCCCGGCGTTGTCGCTCCGATATTATCATCGACGCCTTCTGTGGTGTTGGGGGAAACGCAATACAGCTGGCGTTCACCTGTGAGAGAGGTATCATAAATTTCTTCCTTGAATGACATCACAGTTTTGCTCATGAATATGGAAATCTGTATTAGCAAAAAACAAAAACCCAAAAAAGGCATCAAAACACCCTTGAAATGGCAGTAATGAAGATTGAAAATATGGTTCAACCAGTTGGCGCTGGGATTGTCTTGACAAGAACAGAATGAGGTGCTGGATTACTTTTGACTCGACCTCAAGCCAGGCGGGTTGAAACCATCACCCTCGGGCCTCGCTCGCTGAGCAGGTCGCCGACATATTTCCAGCCTCGCTCCCTGTGTGTTTATCCGTCATCCATTCCGATTACCGCAAAACCTTTGCGGGTATACACGTCATCCGGCGTGAACTGGTTAATGGGGCACAAAGGTCATTAGCAAGGATTGCATTTTAAAAAAACCAATCTATTACATGGGCCCTTTAAACTTTTAATGAGTGGTATGGCAATATTGCTGTTTTCCTTTGACAGTGATAGCAGTCGACATCGATCCAGTAAAGATAGACTGTGCACGTCACAACGCCAAAGTCTACGGTGTTGCAGACCGCATTGAGTTTATTCAAGGGGACTACTTTCTTCTGGCCGATCGCCTCAAGGCCGACGTGGTATTCCTGAGCCCTCCCTGGGGCGGGCCGGACTACTTGCAAGCTGATGTCTACGATATTACCACCATGATGCCTCTAGATGCATATCCTTTTGAAAAAATGGCAGAGAAATGATTATATATGAACCCTATAGCAGATGGTAAATTGATTTAATGAAACAATAGGAGTTTGCATCAGTTAGAACAAGTATTTGAAAATTCCAGCCGAATGTTTTCCTTAACAGAAACTCACCTTCAAGCTGTTTGAGAAGACCAAGCAGATTACAGAGAATATCGCTTTCTTTGTTCCACGGAATGCAAACGTGGATCAGGTGAGACATTCTATTGTCCAAGTTAAAAAACATCTGGTAAAATTAGAGCTGAAACAACAAATGTAATAAAGCCGATTTAAGTAAGGAAATTGTCATTTTAATTAATCATTTTTGAATTACTATTTAAATATTAATGACTACTCCCATACTATTATTCCAAGTTCTGTTAAGTTTACGCATATCTTGTAACAGCATTATTAATAGTGTAAAATAAACTTGAAACTTGGTATGTTTGTAGAACATTTGACTTTACCAAGATACACATATACATGTACAATGTTTATGTATACAGAAAGTCAAAGAATGGCTGGCCATGAGACCTTGCATTTTCATGAAGTAATGATTCAATTTCTTCTGACATTTTCTGTTTCTTCTTCGTAGTTGGCATCTTTAGCAGGCCCTGGAGGACGTATGGAGATAGAGCAGAATTTTCTCAATAAGAAAATCAAGACAGTGACTGCTTACTACGGAGAACTTGTGGATGGTTGAAGTCCTGCTGTCAGACAAAATCGACACATTCAATCCGAGGAGAAATCACCCATTAGTCACTGTACCGCTCCAAACCCGCTATTACTTCCTGTAGCACCTAAAACCGCCTGAGCTCTCTATGGTTTTATGGGTTCATCAGGAAATAAATACAATGTATCACAATGAAATACAATGTATCACAATGATATACAATGTAATACAATTTGACAGGTACTGCTAATAGGTCAACTTGTGTCAAACATATTTCAAAATTTCATTCGCTCCACAGAACCATTTCATAATTGGCCTTTCATAAGAGGTACATCTTCAAAAACCAGGGCAAACATTGAAAGAAACCATTGTTCAACAAATTATTTATGGCACCAGATTGAATACAAGTTTATCACATTTTCTTGAATTGGTAAGCCTTTGATGCGTTGTGCATGTGTTGGCCGAAGATCCTATAGTTCAAACTGTAAAACCATTTTAAAAAATATCCTTCAAGGACAAGGTAGTTGACAACAGAGAGACTTTTTATTCATGGTGGTGTGCTCATGTGTACACACCGAGTACGTCATTGAAGGGTAAAATCTAATATTGAATTTGCTCTTGGATTCTTTTGAAGAACATTTGGATTATCTGTGTTCAAGACTCGAAATCAAAAGACACAGGCATTTGCATTTTTTTTTTCTGGATCTAATTTATTCAAACATTCTTTTTAAAACATAAATTATTCCACTCAAGAGGTCTAACTATTGAACATGAATGGTCCAAGTGTGAAAACAGGAATTGTCGAGTTTTGCTTAGCGAAAACAGAACCACATTCGACTCGCGTTAATACTACCTCAGCCGGACATAGCCAAAATGTTTGTTATATCAGAATTTTGTGTCAAGTGGAGTGCCGGTCCCATTCATTATGCACATAAATGCATGATAGGGACCAAGACCTTGTTTGCTATAACTAGAATTTGTATTAACAGTGTTTGTAGTAACGACTGCAGTTGAAATGAGAACTGATGTACGTGTCTGCTTTTCTATTCAGACTTTTCTGTTAAATTTTCCAAGCAAAGTTTTGTCTCTGGTAATACGCAACTCCGTATAAGTTGGCGACAAGTGCTGTTTTTGTTTTCACTGCATCAATCATGCACTCTACATAAAGATTTGAAGTATACTTTTTGACTGCATAACATGTATTTTTTTAAAACCAATTTTGAATATTAAACCAATAATGAACTAAAACGCTTCTTCCCTCGTTGTCTACTTGTCTGCTATCATTCAGAAAGTAACACATCAAATCAAAAACAGGAACTGGGGATTCAAAATTATCGGGAAAATGAAACTCGAAATGGTGATATTGCAAGTTGCAACCTTCCTCAAACTTTGGTTCTTGTATTTTTCTTGTTTTTCCATCATTTACTTGGGCTCCTAACAGTAGAAAAGCAGGTCTTTCATGCTCCAGCGGTTTCTGGTTTTAAGGTGGCGTGGGTCGAAGACACGAGTAACTTTCCTCCGGGTTTAATTTTTCCCCACAGGGAAGGCCTGGTGGTTCAATCTCCATGGAAACATTTGTCTTGTAAAACTTGATGTAACACACACCAACGATGAAAAACCTGAGATTGAAAGAGAAATATGAAGAATTTTTTGGGGGAGAAAAATGAAATATGTAAATTGACACTTTCCTGAAAGAAAGATGTTAATAGTTTTGTGACACCGCCCCCCCCCCCCCCCTCCCCCGCAGTTATGGAGTACCGAAGTGAATACGTCGCGCGCACAAAATGTGTGTAAAGGACATTAGCGCGTGATTCAGCCCGTGAACCAATGCGCGCGTACTCCATTCATTTGCACAACACTTTCTGGTTCTAAATGATGTCACACTTCGGTACTTCATAATCAAGTAACATCCCCAAAAAATCAATGCTGTTAGAGTTGTTCTCCCCATGCCATTTTCAAGTCTCGCCCTAAAAACTCTAATGCTAGATGTTCTTAAATCGCTAGTTTTCTAGCAATGCAGAAGTCATTCACTTTTGAATGAGACATCGAAGACAAAAATCCGGCCATGTTTAGTCATGAACTATAGTTACTCTTCAATTTTTTTTTAATGAATTTTTGCGTAATGAATGCAAATGCAACCCAATTTAAAAGCGTATTTTCAGACTACAAAAGACCTTTAAAAATCATGGAATCAGGAAAAATCCTTACAAAATCCTGGAAGCGTGTGACGGTGTCACCCCCTAATGGGAATAATCAATTAATTGCCATTGCCAGTCTTACATGTATAAACTACTGAGTGAGACTCCTATTCATCTGCTGATTCACTTAGTGGACGGACGGAGTGGAACACTCCGAGCTCTCGCATCCTCTCAAAATCCTTCTGGACGTCGTACGTCTTGTAGAACTCGGCGTACTTGGCCTTCCTCCAATCGAACACTGCGGTTGGACAAGACGGAATAAATCGATCAGTGATACAACAGGTCCATCAATCAATGGACTGATCTATTATTAAAGGGCCCCATCATATTATGTCCAATCAACCTATGGACATAATTTTATAACCAATAATTTTTTTTTAAAGCAATCCTTGGAAATGCACCTCTGTGTCCCATTTAAATGTCACGCTATTTTAAATTTTTGTTTTGCCATTTTCAAGGGTATTTTGGTGCCTTTTTGTTTTTTATGCTAATGCCAATTCCATATTCATGAGCAAAAGTGTGATGTAATTTCAAGCAGAAACCTCAATGTTACACCTATTTTCTTTTTTTTGGTAATTCTTCATTGGTCAGTACATGGTAGTAGGCCAATGAGCAATATTTTGTCACGAATATTTTCAATGAGCAAACTTTTGGGTTCACAATATGAACAGAAAACCCTTAAACTGAACAGTGTCTTCCTGCAATGGCATTACATTAACAGTCCCCCCAGTTGTCTGGAAAAGCATGGAATTTAAAAAAAAGAAATGTTTACAACAGTACACTTTTCAATAAATAATTAACCAAAAAGGGATGTCACATATTTTTTTTGTACATTTAAGAAGAGTAGAAAGTTGCACAAAATTATGTTCCTCAGAAAAATTCACTTTCATGGACCCATGAGAACCTGATGCATAAAACCAGAGCACCAACTCTTTTATTACACAAAATAAGATCAAGTTACCCTATATTTCCACTTTCTTCAATAATCAGAACTCCCTAGGGGGTGTGCAAAATTGTATTAAAATTGGAGGATTCAGTACTGTTAGGGGAAAGATTTCCATATATAAAGTTCACTCAACACCCTGTGTACAAACCCTATGAGATTGGACTGAAAAATTCTAAGTGTTTTCTAAGAAAATGCTTGTATTTTCTCACTGCTCAAATTGACTTTGATGACATGAAATTGCTATCTGGGGGCTTGTTAGTCAATACAGAGGAAAATTAGTGAACTTCGCATATGGTTATCTTGCCCTGTTGGGGCTATGAATGCACCACAAAGACTGTGGTTTCACACAGATTTTCAAATTTATCCATCAAAATTTTAAAACTGTACATTGCAATCATTGCAGTTTTTGCACTCACAAAAGAATTTGACACATGCGGCTCCGGTGACAGCCAGTACCAGTCCGATGGCAAAATGCTTCTTGAGATGGCTGTTCAACAAGCCTCTCATCTGGGGTCTAGGTAGCGCTGACATGATTGACACTGCAACATTCACATAAGAACACATTGAAGGATTTTAAGCAAAACAGTGACATTTGAGCATTTCAATTTGAACACGTTGGCAGATGCCGACTTCACAACGAAGCAGTGTAGGCCTAGGACAAATTCCTGGTACCAACAACTGGAAAGATTCCCATATCTGGCCATCACTTGTCACCCTGTGCACAAACCGTACGAGACTGGTCTGAACATTTCTAAGTGTTTTCTCAGTAAATACTTCAATATTTTCCCAGCTAAATTGGACTTTTTAGGACATATTGTCACTTTCTGATGATGTTAGGTCACTGAAGGGAATAATGAGTGATGGCCAGATATGGGAACCTTTCCGTTAATAACACCAACATGTTTTTCGGTATGTAGGCCCTACAATTACAAAGCAGCAAGTAGTAATGTTGCACATCCCTGACCAAGTAATGTGGTGCATCCTGTTCCCCCCCCCTCCCCCACTAACGTTAGCGCCTAGCTACCTAGCTCAAGCAAAGTTTTACACAAAATTTCGTAGGACACGTATTAAACGTTAGAATAAGTAGAAGTAAACATTCCATCAAGTACGAGCATCGAGGAAGGAAAAACCTCCTCCATGGTAGTATAACTCCTTGACCATGCTGAAGTTGTCACATTTTACATTACCTAGACCCGTGAACGTGGCTTGTAAACTACGCCACGCTGTTGTCTATTTTCGAACCTGGCGAACGTGTCCCTCTGACTCCCTCCGTTACACACACTGGACGTTATTTTGCCCATGTAATAAGTACTCACATATGAAGCTGTCTTGAATTCTATTTGTACGTCAAAACTTGCATTTGACGAAAATTGAGGAAAATTCTGGCCCCGGTTCATGAAGTCAGTCCGCTACTGCTAGCTGCCATTTTCTCCCAACTGACGCATGCGCATTGCGTTTTATTTTCGTATGATTCGACGGCTGTTTACTGTCGCAGCTAAAACAGACATCGTTTTAGACAAGTTTCAAGTCCTTTCCTCTCTCACCGCACCGCACGCGGTCGCACGTGCGCCCGCGTGTGTGTGCACACACGTACTGTACACGAGATGAGCTGAGCAGCCAATCATCTGCGGGGTTTTTTTTTTCGGGGTTGCGACATGAAACAGCCGTCAATCTGTCCAAGCGACTCAGACGCGTCCGGGGTTATTTGTCAGGGTCAGGTTAAAATCTAATTTCTACACGTTCGTATGGGTCTTTACTGATGGGCAAATTTCGTCGAAATTACACAGCCGAAACAATCGGACGGGCAAATTTAGATTTCTAGGTGAGTACTCAACACCCATACGGAATTATGTATGTCGGATCGATTTCGCCAGGTTCGAAATGAAACAAGAACGTGGCGTTGTATACAACGCCACGTTCACGGGTCTATACATTACCCTAAGCTACGCAACAATGCATCCAAAAATATTACGAAACGTTTATTGGTTTAAAACTGAAACATGTTAGCTTGTTAAACATGTTAAAGATCCGTGAACTGGTTCACTTCATTTTTATTCGTTCTTGAGCTGGTATTCCTCTGTGCATGCGCACCTATACAAGTACGCAATATAATATAATAAATTCTCAAAACAACAAAGTGCAGTGCCAGTTTATAAACGACAACAATCGGTGTCACGGTCAAATCCAAGTGCCAACATGGCCAATATTCAAACAATAATTTCCTACAAACATCTAAGCCTAGTGGGATGTGTGAGTAGCAAAAATAACAGGTTATCTTAACTGGTCAACTTACAAGACACTCTACATATTCATATAGTAACTTAGTTATTAGGCCTAATGTGAAAAGGTATACCAGCCAAGGGAACCCGTTCAAAATCAAATCAAATTTTGTGCCCAAAATCCGGACACCAACTGTTTCTGGACTTTCGGACTAGCTTTCACGACGCTCCAATTGCTCAAAAGGTTTCCAAAGCAACTTTAATTAAATGCGACTTCCTAACCCGATATTTCTACTCTGATGAAATAAATTTCGAACGCTCCGTGTTCATGTAAAAAGCCGAAATTGATAACTTTCTTACCGAAACTTGTTTTCCTATCGCTTGAGATTCCAAGATGACTGCCGTTGACCGGCTTCAACCTTTTACTCAGAGCAAGAACGCATCCTGTGGAGCGTTACCGCGCTGGTGTGCCTACGTGTTGAGATCGAGGCAAAGCTCTCCTTTTTAAGGGGCGCGGTTTCACTTACAAAAAGGGGGTTATGTGATGGAAATACCTGTTTTTATCACTCGAAACTTTCGGAAAGTTGCTATTATTCTCTCTTTTTTTTGGGGGGGGGGGGGTGGCGCATCAAATAAAACCCTGACAATTGAAATACGTAAGTGCCTACTAATTTGACTAAAAGTTGTATAAAAGTTGTTGTCAAACTTGTATGAGTTTACCCAAATACAGTATGTTAAACAACAAAATTTTTGCAAATATAATTTAAATGCAATCAATTTAAAGTAAAAAAGCAAACAAGGACAATTTTCTGTGACTTATGATGTTTATCAGTATACATTCAAGTACACAGGTAGTGAATGGCAGTTACATTTATTTTATTTACATTGAGCACTTGTTTTTAAAAAAATGGAACAGTTTTTATGAGTTAATACTTTTGATATACATTGTTCTACGCTCTGAAGAAAATAGCCAATTTGTGTGGGGCTTATGTAACTACATGTAGTTGTAAGTGTTGGGGAAAAATTACTGTTCATAGTTTCAGTCGTTTGATTTTACTTGTACATCAACCATTCTACAACGCCTGAACAAATCCCCGTTATCTGATTGATGGGTCATTGATCACATGTCGTTGAATTATTCATCCCAACGCACAGCCCAACCGCACCGCAAGAATAGAAGTTCTATTCTGTCAAACTATTGGTGGCTCTGACCAATCAGATGACAAGGATTTAGTCAGATGTTGTGTAAAACAAATAATGAATGTTTCACTAATTTTGTGCAATGGAAAGAGTAATTTCTTTCAGTGACAGATGGAACGTTCCATTCCACTCGGCTTCGCCTCGTGGACTGGAACATTCCATCGGTCACCTCATGAAACTATTCTTACCATTGCACTTACAAACATTCATTATTTGTACAGGTTGTCCCACAAAAAAACCTAACAGTCGAAAAACCAATTAATGAAGGTATATTGCATGTGAGTTTTGGAATATTTTCAAATTACCTCTTAAAGTCAGATAAGCAATCAACCATACAAACTTTATTTCTATCACATCGATGCATTGGAACAAACGCTATGCTTCATCAACTCAAGGGTACTTTCCTTGAAAGTGAGAAAGCGCAGTTAGAAAAACGCAAAGGATTTATTTCCTTTGTTCCAAGAGGAACATGTGACTTATTCTACCGGCTTCGATCTGTAAACTTGATAAATAAAAAAGTGGCCCAAGTGTTTTTTTCAAGTCCCATATTGTGATTGCTGTATCTTTTGAACAAAACATCCTAATGAAACCAACTAAAAAGCACTAGGAAGACCAATAATTCTACTCAGCAATCGTTAGACACGATTTTGAATACTAACCCCACTTTTCTAAAAACAAGCCCGATTCGACTGTTTTTTTTTTTGTGGGACAACCTGTATTATATCCTGTTGGTCAACAAAATTGTCCAGTTGGTTTTTCTTGAAGTAAAATATTCTTTTCATTATTAATGGAGGTCTCTTCTTTCAAGTTGATTTTATGAATGGCTAATGAATTAAAACTGAGTCCATAATTCCATGCATACAAAATTTAATTTTACATGTCAGTAATTATTGTTTTTACTTTAAAAGGGGTCTGCACATTACATTGGCTATTTGTTAAAAATTTGATAAGTTTATAAAAAAATATGAATGGAAAACAATTTTGTTGAAATATATCTTTGATATTTTTGGTATGTATTATGTAAACACAGATACTCATGGGACAATTGACAGCTGCTATGAAAAAAAACAATACTGCTAAAAAAGAACAATTTTTTTCTCCTAAATAACTTGACGAAATGCCATGATTAATACTGCTTAATTAATTGAATTGACGGAAAGTTGTCAAAATTGAGCTGTGGTTTCAACAGAAAGAAAGAAATGAAAACAGAAACAGAAATTAATTTAAAACAAAAAAGAACGGAACAAAAGTTTCAACAATTGTGGGAAAGTCCAACATTTTTGTGGAAATGCTTAAAATAAAGACTATTACTTTAAATTTATAAATTCATAAAACTGAAAGAATGCACACACAATTGTATACTTTTTTTTTTTTTTTTTACATTACCCCTTATGTAACACTTTTGAATTAAAAATACACGATTGTAAAAACGTTAACAGTAAGGAAATATGAAAATAAATGTCCAATTTTGTAATCTTGCTTGAATTTATATTTTTTAAAGAAAACTTTGCAGATGGATTTGCCCGTAAGGTTCGTTTCCAAACCCCCCCCCCCCCTCCCCCGGAAATGTGAACAGTTATCGTTACAAAACCAACATATAGTGCGAGGAACTTTGCATTACAGTTTTTTAAGTTGAAAAACTAACAAATTGTGACAGATTCACGCAAGCTGAAAATTTTTTGGTTATCGGTCAAAATATCACACAATTTGTATCACTTTGGCTGGTACTCAGCTAAGGCCCAAAAAAAAAGTCTCCGGTTTCTGGTATGGAGCTTGCCCAAAAAGTGGTGCGGCGATGCGGCTTTTTTTTTTTTTTTTACCTGATTTTTTTGCTTCAAATGTCGGCTGATGACTGCAAATGGTGCCCGACTAAACTTAGTGCAAATATATGGGAGTCCAGAGCGGCCACATAAAGCTTATTCTCGACCATAACCCAATCTAAAAACACCTTAAAATTGTGCAGCAGCAGGATTCCAGTCAAACCAGTGAGTTTGGCGGTTTTGAGACATGATCTTTCATTGAAAAAATTTGTTTTCATTTTGCCGACGCGCATGGCTACGGCGACGCGCGCGCGTACCAGAAACCGGAGACTTTTTTTTTTGGCCTAAATTCTGCTTATTTCCGTGCTTTGGTACATTTTGAATCGTATCCGATCAGATACATACATGAGTGCTTTATATACATCGTTATACGAGCTGTATCTTTAGTCACCATATGTCCCTGTAAGTAAGAATAGCGGCCGATCTTCGGTCCTGTTGGCCGTTTGGAATTCGTCCCTCAGACGGAATCGCCAGCGATCTTCCAGGTCTAACCGGACGACTTGACGCCGTAAGGTGCTCCTGTCTGGGCTGATGAGACAGAGTCTGGCACCTAGAGTCATCCAAAAGAATCATAATACAACAGCTGTCAGGCGCCATTCTACAATCCGACATTGGGTGACTGAAACATCATACAGTGGAACACCCTTCAATTTGAAATTTTTCAACAAATTTTTAAAGAATTTTTATACAAATCATTGACATCCAAAGTTACTCAACTGTTTGTGGCTTGATATGTGCTTGTAATGTCAAAATTTGGTCAAACATTTGAAGAAAAAAAAGAATTTCAAATAAACCACAAAAATGTTTTAAATTTAAAAAAAATTATTGAAAAAAAAAAAATTGTCAAAATGAATGGCATACCAGACACAAACTGGAATTGCTTGAGGAAAGTACTTTCCACGAACGCATCGCACATGTACAGGAGGAGGCCGCTGAACATGAGATTGTCTGGAGTGGTGTTGACAGAGTGGGGCCGGGAACTCACAAAATGAACTGCGGAGAAAGAAATCAATAAACTGGTTAGGGACGGATCCGTAATCCTGTAAGATCCCTTGTCTTAAATTCAATCTCCACAATGGAGGCTGAGCGGGCAACATAGAGGGCGCTAAGACAGTCTTTTTGATGGACACAATACGAGGGGGTAATTTGGAGTGAGTAAATTTGGGTAAATACAAGAGTTTATCTACTTTAAATGGCGCCCTCCTTTTGTGTCTTACATATCTTGAAAAAGGCTAATGTGCACACTGCTCCAGGCCCACTTGTTGCAAAGAGTGGGCACGACTAAGTTAAAAGGGACATTACGGCCTGAAATCCCTGATCATTTTTATATTTTTCGATTTTTAACTTATCCTATTTCAAAGGTCTGGTTGAAAGGAAACTAACCACATGTCTTACCGTTCTCAAGAAAAGACGGGAAAAACTTGGTTGTTTACATTGGATGCGGCGGACATTTTGTGGCATACGCATAGGTATTTCCAGCCGTGTCCAGTCAATGTACGGTACACGTTGTGTGTGTGTCACAGAAATACCCACAGCACCAAGACATAAATGTTGTTTTTCGCACGTCTGTGAAATGCGATGCACTGGTAGAACATGTGCACCGGGATTCACGACTAGCACCCAACAGCTAAATTTTTGAGAGTAAACATTTGGACCACCGAAATTCGTTCTTGCAAGAATAACACAAAACTACGCCCAGTTTTTAAAGGATGGTTGTGTGGATGTTTACATCCTACTTTTAAATGCTCTTTCCAATGAACATCATTGCATTTAAAACACGTTTTGTAGCCCAATTGGGTGCATTCCAGGACTTTAAACTGGTGTCAAAATTCTATTCAGAATGGCTATTCACTGGACATCTTTTCATATCATCTGGTCTACACAATAGACCTTTATCATGCTGCCACCATTTCAGTCATGTAGTACTGAATGATAATTTTTTTTTGTGCAAAAAGGAACCAGACTATTTTTCCTTCCAGTCTCGCTTTGGTTACGTTGATTTGAATGGGAAAAAAATCAAGATGGCCGCAACACGATTATGGTCTATAGGCCGGATTTAGCCCATTCTTTGGCATTACAGGGTAATCCTATACAATAGCACTGCCCGGCTCACAAGTGACAATAAGTCAGTCAGTAAATGAGACAGGAACAAGGGGACACTAGGATTGGCCCGCTGGGACCAGCAAATATCTTTCCCGTACCGGCAATCTGTGACCCAAGATTCAAGTAACAGTCGACGAGCAGCACAGGATTCTCCGAGTTGCTGACGGCCAACGGGAAGAGTCGTTCCCCGCTCTTGTTCTCCAGGAAGCGTTCGAGGAGGTACTGGGGCGGGGCCAGGAGGGGTACGAGCTCCTCGCTGTCGGGGGTGGAGACGTAGTTACGGAATTGGATCTTGGTCCTGGAATGGCCACTCCCTGCTGGAGACGACTGTTAGGTGAAAGAGAAAGTTGAAGAATGTGACACAAATATGGCATTAGGTACATGGGAACATTTTCTGTTTGTGCATTTGTTTTCCTTTGCAGCAATACTTTTCTCAAAATCTTAAGGAGAGTGCATAAAAACTAACTTGTTGAAGTTTCAGCTCAGTGGATAAACTGCATTTTGAGACAATAGAAAATATTGTATCCACAATTGCCGGGGTCTTGTTACTGGACTGCATTGCTAATGCACATAAACCACTGTGCCTGCAGGCACATTTCTGAAACACCTTTAATGAATGTTTTCTTTCGAATTATACCATTTTAGGCGGAACAATTTCACAGGGTATTTGGTACCAGTCCTATCTTCACTTCCAGCAAAGGTTTTTCTCGTTAAATTGATAGGTACATATTTCCGCGCAATTCCAAATGTCCCTACATGTACATGCCTTTAACCATCAGAACAAGACAGAAGTTCAATATTTTGCCCTTAGATGACATAATTTCGTAAAAACTGTATACATGTACTCATTGTTGTACAAGTGCTTGCCAGGATAAACATTCACATCATACGGATAGAAAAAAAATTTGATGATGTAAATAGATGCTTTCTGACCACCAACTGAAATGGTTTTAGTTGTGTTTAAGTTTGCTTAACTTTAACTCCCTAGGGGGTGTGCAAAATCGTATTGAAATTGGAGGATTCAGGACTGTTAGGGCTATTTTCATTCAAAAGGCATGTCACACATGGTAACCTACAGGCAATTTCTGATAAGAAAACAACGGGAAAATTTTTCTTTTTATCAGATTCTGGGTTTTTCAATAAACTTTTCTGGAACTTGTTCCGCATATTTATAGAGTGTTTCGCACCTTAGAGCACGGTATCACGTTGATGTCATCACCGATGTGAATGAGTTTCTTCATGACCGAAAATCGATTGATCTGACACAGAAGTAGTGAGCTGCTCTGGGCGCGGAGATTGAAATCCACGTCCTCGTTGAAAAATCTGAAAAAAAAACAAAAAACCGAAAGAGCAATTTTGTAAATAATTTCTTGCAGGGTAGATTGGTTCCTACCCCCACTTTTCGTTTAAAAGAACACTGGTAAAAACTCTTAGGAGGAAAACAATTGAATTTGTTGAAGAGCATGGACACTTAACTGGTTTACCAGCCTATGGTGATCGCACTAACTGGTTGACCAACCTACGATCAAGAATGTTGAAGAGCATGGCCAATTAACTGGTTTACCAACCTATGGTGATCGCACTAACTGGTTGACCAACCTATGATCAAGAATGTTGAAGAGCATGGACAATTAACTGGTTTACCAACCTATGGTGATTACACTAACTGATTCACCAACCTAGGATCAAATTAACTGGTTTACCAACCCATGGCGATCATACTAACTGGTTTACCGACCTATGATCAAACTAACTGGTTTACCAACCCATGGTGATCATGCTAACTGATTTACCGACATATGATCAAATAAACTGGTTAAACAACCTATGGTGATCATACTAACTGGCTTACCAACCTATGATCAAATAAACTGGTTAACCAACCTATGGTGATCATACTAACTGGCTTACCAACCTATGATCAAATAAACTGGTTAACCAACCTATGATGATCATACTAACTGGTTTACCAACCTATGATAAAAAACTGGTTTACCAACATATGGTGGTTATACTAACTGGTTTACCAACCTATGATAAAAAAAATTGGTTAACCAACATATGGTGATCATGCTAACTGGTTTACCAACCTATGATCAAATTTACTGGTTTACCAACCCATGATGATCATACTAACTGATTTGCCAACCTACATGTATGATCAAATTAACTGGTTTACCAAGCTATGATCAAATCAACTGGTTTAATACCAACCTATGGTGACCATACTAACTGGTTTACTGACCTAGGATCAAATTAACTGGTTTACCAACCTGTGGTGATCATACTGGACATTCTGCGTCTCCTCCAGATTCAGGAAGACCATATTGTACAGGTGACCTCGTGAGAAGGGTTGACCTCTGACCGTGCCCTTTGACCTGCTGGCCCATTGCTGGAAGCCAATCAGAGCATAGCTGACCAGCTTGGGTATGGCCTCCACTTCCTCGATCAAGGTTTTCAATGAGATTAGGGAATCAATTCTGCAACAAGAAATGCAAGAAAAAGATTTATGATGAAAAAATATACAGGTACTAAAATATAATTTGATCAGAAGAAAACCATTTTCTTCATGTCATACTAAAGATACTTCCTAAATTCGTGTCAAATTTTGCTATATTTCCATTTATACTCAATCTATCACATTTCCACAAATGGTGAAAATGAAATTATGAAAATGCAAACATTATCTCTCCAACAAAACTTTAGCGTAATTCATCTAGCACAAGGAGTAACAAATGCAAGCCAATGTCTATTCTGAACTCAGTAAACACCGCGTGACCTCTGGTGCGACCCATAATGACCCAAGTGACCTCCGGTGTGACCCCTAAATAATGACACCTAACCTGAGAGATCCCTGTTGTGACCTACAGCGACCTCAGAGTGAACCCTAATGTGACCCATAACGACCTCCAAATGACCTCTGTTGTGACCCATGATGACCTGAGTGACCTCTGGTGCGAGTCATAATGATCTCTGAATGACCGCTGGTTTGACCCATAATGACCTCTGATGTGACCCATAACGACCCCCACGTGACCCCTGACCTTGAATCATTCTTGCCCGGCACACATTCGTGCCAGGAGAAGCAGGAGTCGTCGGTGATGATGATGAACGGCCAGACTTCTTGTCTGTTCACTCCCAGCTCTTCCTGTCGGCTGCGTTCCAGCTGCAGGTTGTTGTAAGCCAACTCCTTGATGAAGTACTTGGCAGCACCTGCAGGACAAATAACGAAAGTCTCCGATTTGTATGATCCAAAAGTCCCAATTTTCATCCATTTGTTTTCTTTAAATTCTTTCCAGTAATGAAAAAAAAGGATTGCTTGAAACCTAAGGGCCTGTCTCAATTCATATCCGGGAAAAGTCCGGACAAATTGCAGGTAGAATCATTCACTTTGTCCGGAAGATGCTCTGCATTCGTCCCAGACATTTTCCAGGGAAATTTTCATTAGCAACTGCTTGACTCACCAATACTGATAACGTCATTGCGGGAAAGTTGTTTAGAATCCTGCAACTTATACTCAATACAACGTCCACAACTTGTCCGGAACTCGTCTCGATATGAAATGAGACGGGCCGTAATGAGGATGATGAAGAAATACCAAAAGTTTGAGATTTCAGAGTCAAATCCTGAATTCCAGGGAAAATTTTAGCAGCGACTGAACATTTTTAATCATTCCTTGCTAGTAAACACCTCAGTTGAACAAAGTGAGTTTTCAACTTGTGGTCCATTTTCACGGTCTAGTGATTTCTGCACGACTGAACAATCAATGTGGTACTTGGGGGAGCCACGTCAAAACAATGTGGTACTGTAAGGGTTAAAGTGGGCATACACAAGATAAGATGGAATTTGAGTCGGGGTGATGTAAATCAATGTTAGGTTTTGCCCTTCACTGACGTATAAACACTGTTTACTCAGTGTGTTACCTCCCTAGTGAAAGTTGGAAAAAATCACTCGGGTGGGACTCGAACCAACACACAAGGTAAAGTATGATTTTTAAACTGCTTACCAGGCCCAGCATCGTTGACTACTGTCGGTAGAACCAGTATGATATGATTTGGCCATTGCTTCTCATAGGCTAGCGCGTCTTTCTGTTTGCAGACCAGGACATGGACGTGTTTGCGTCCCTCCATAGCGTGGTGGAGGTTGATCAGGCCGTGCTCGTGCCGTCCGAACGTCCACATGAAGATGGGCGTCTTGACGGCGTTTGGACCCTGTAGGAACACAAATAATTCAACAATTTTCTAAATTCTAACCTTCAAAGTGGAACAGGTGTAAAGTCTGTGGGACTTTGTTCAATTGGCATCAACACAAGTGCATAAACTGCCAATTCTGAGACAATGGGAGTTAGTCCCCCCAAAACAATGCCACAGTTGTATCCTGCTGCAGTTGGTGACCACAGACCCGGAGGCAGGTTGTTTTTGTGATTTAGTACCTGATGGATCTTGCTGTACTTGGCAGGTTCCTCACTTTGACTAGTGTTGGATGATCCGAGTGTTGATTGCAGGGTCTTCTAGGAAGAGGGAGGCGTTACTGATGACTTAAGTTTTACATGTACACTTAACAGAGCTTGCAAGTGTCCCATAACAAAATTTTTACGAAATTAGAGTTAACGACTAAAACGACAAGCTTTAATATAATGATCATCTAATTGCTAAGCTTGCAACAGATAAAATCTGTTACTGATGGCTTAAGTTTTACATATACACTTAACAGAGCTTGCAAGGTTCCCATAACAAAATTTGTACGAAATAGAGATAACAACTGTTAAAACGACGGGATTTAATACAATGACCATCTAATTGCTAAGCTTGCAACAGATAAAATCTAAAGCAGATACTTTCAACGGTTTTCAACTACCACTACACAACTTTTGAACATGTTCTACAACTTTTTATCTGGAAACATTTTAGCTGCATCCTTGCTGATGAGTGGTCCTCGTTTGCTATTTCCCGGGTTTGCAGCATTGCTATTAAATGTTGCTAGAATCGTGACTTTGGGCGTGATCCCTAGCTACATGGCACACTGGTTTAAGGCTACTGACTAGTGCCCTTGAACAAAGACACTGACAAAATGGGGAACCACCAACATAGGGCTGGATAGCTCAGTAAGGTAGAGCATCGGAACGGTAATTACGAGGTCGCAGGTTCAAACCCCGCTCCAGTCAATTCTACTCTTGATAGACACTACACCAACGCCCCTTCTCAGGGGTCACACGGGCAGGGTTGGCTGTGCGCATGGATTTGTTGTTTTGCTGTTTACTTGGTTTCTTCTTTCTCACAGATGAAATTGAAGTGTGTGTTGATGGCAGATTTGAAACTTTCTTTATCCTGAATCGATGTCATTTCAATAGGCACTGAGTTCCAGTGCACTAATTTCTTTGTTCTACTTGAAAACAATCATATCATTGCACCTAGTCAGATTCCCTTTGGGGTCGATTTAAAAATTTAGAAATGTTTTAGTTTAGGAAAACTTGGAGTAGTCTAAATTCATAACACCGACCTGTTCACTCATGATGGGTAGCACCATACTCATCATCTGACCGGTTCGCTGGTTGAATACAAAATGTTTCTCTTGTTGAGGTGGAATGATGAACTGCAACTCTAGATCCTTGCCAAACAGAACGGACGACAGGCGAATACTGTATGCTTTGGTTTCTCGGGCCTAAAACGGAAACGTAATAAAAAATTGAAAGAAACTCTAAGAATAAGATCTACAAAGCTGACGCTGAATACATTTGATAAACTGGTCACAAGCGGTGTGGGAGCATTGAATTCAAGATCTGCGAGTAATTCCGCAGGTTGTGAGTTCGAGTCCAGCCTGGGGTTGTGGTGTGCGTGTCCTTGGGCAAGCCACTTTGTCACATTTTGATCTCCCCTCCACACTTTTGTGGATCCCATGATAAAGAATTTTGCCTTTTGTGGAAATCTATACCGTTAAAATATCCAACGATGCTTTAGTGCCTTCTTCCCTATGCCATTGGTTGACTGAGACTATTACCTCGACTGCTGAGATGTCTTTATAGTTGAGGCATTGATCGCAATGATGGAAGGCGTTGTGCGCACTGTACTTGGTCAGTCTGACAGAAATTGTGGACGGCTTCCTGGGTCCCTCGGCATCACTGGAATTGGGCTTACCTGCAGAGAACAGGTGCAATCAATCAATTAATTAATTGATTCATTAATAAATCATGTTGCCAATCTGATCAATTTAATAAAATAAACAACCATTCAATTCGAGTCAACTACAATTCAATCACAAGTCAATCATAAGTCAGTTACAAGTCAATTATAAGTCAGTCACAAGTCAATCATAAGTCAGTCACAAGTCAATTATAAGTCAGTCACAAGCCAATCACAAGTCAGTCACAAGCCAATCACAAGTCAGTCACAAGCCAATCACAAGTCAGTCACAAGCCAATCACAAGTCAGTCACAAGCCAATCACAAGTCAGTCACAAGTCAATCACAAGTCAGTCACAAGTCAATCACAAGTCAGTCACAAGCCAATCACAAGTCAGTCACAAGCCAATCACAAGTCAATCACAAGTCAGTCACAAGCCAATCACGAGTCAGTCACAAGCCAATCACAACTCAATTGAAAGTCAGTCACAAGTCGATTGTAAGTAAATCGTAAGTCAATCACAAGTCAGTCACAAGCCAATCACAAGTCAGTCACAAGCCAATCACAAGTCAGTCACAAGCCAATCACAAGTCAGTCACAAGCCAATCACAAGTCAGTCACAAGCCAGTCACAAGTCAATCACGAGTCAGTCACAAGCCAATCAAGAGTCAGTCACAAACCAATCACAACTCAATTGAAAGTCAGTCACAAGTCGATTGTAAGTCAATCGTAAGTCAATCACAAGTCAGTCACAATCCAATCACAATTCAGTAATTAGCCAATCACAAGTCAGTCACAAGCCAATCACAACCAATTGCAGTAATGAGCCTCAAACATCAACAAGAAGGCAATAACAAGCTAGATCATAAGCAACGTCAAAAGAAAAATAATGGAAAGCAAATGCCGAATTCAAATCTCATTGTCAATCATCAATAAATCAAAAGATCCATTAAAGACTAACGGTACACCTACCAAGTTTGACGTCTTCTGTCCATATAGGGCTATGGTTCTTGAATATACTATTTCTGAGAGTGAAATCAAACGGCATCTTGACCAAGGCCTCGTAGTCAGGCCACTTGACGGCCGCCGAGCCCGGCATAGTCTCATCACCCGAGGGCGCTTCCACCTCCTCGTCCTCGTCTACGACTTCAACTTCTTGCAGTCGGATCAACATGCGCGACAAGACTCGAAGGAAGTGAAAGAAGGTCCCCGTTTTGCCGACCTGTGGAATCCAGGAAACAACAGAGTTAATTTTCAATCCACACACAATTTTGTTACCTTTGGCATGCCATACAACAATACACCAATAGACAATTTTGCTACATTTGGCACGCCATACAACACACCAATAGACAATTTTGTTACCTTTGGCACGCCATACAACACACCAATAGACAATTTTGTTACCTTTGGCACGCCAAACAACGACACACCAATAGACAATTTTGTTACCTTTGGCACACCATACAACACACCAATAGACAATTTTGTTACCTTTGGCACGCCATACAACACACCAATAGACAATTTTGTTACCTTTGGCACACCATACAACAACACACCAATAGACAACTTTGTTACTTTTGGCACGTCATACAACACACCAATAGACAATTTTGTTACTTTTGGCACACCATACAACACACCAATAGACAATTTTGTTACCTTTGGCACACCATACAACAACACACCAATAGACAATTTTGTTACCTTTGGCACGCCATACAACACACCAATAGACAATTTTGTTACCTTTGGCACACCATACAACACACCAATAGATAATTTTGTTACTTTTGGCACACCATACAACAACACACCAATAGACAATTTTGTTACCTTTGGCCGCCATACAACACCACACCAATAGACAATTTTGTTACATTTGGCACGCCATACAACACACCAATAGACAATTTTGTTACCTTTGGCGGTCCATACAGAAGCAATCTCCGTGGATGGTATGCGATGTTACCCTCCCCCTTTCGTTCGTAGTCGTAGTGATGCGTCTTCGGCTCCGTCCACTGCCGGTAGTACGTGCTCTTAATCTCTGGATCTTTGCTGGGGACCGGCCGTAACGTGGTGGACCACATGGTATCACAGCTGGGGACCAGTGAAGCAGTGCAATTGGCGTTCTGTAAGAAAGAGTTTGGTGTTAATAACACCTAAATCTCAAATTTCCTTACGATGACATTCAGTGACCATTCTCATATCCACAATATGAATTGTAGGGTTTTTTTTTAGTAAATGTTTCTTTTGCAGTTTTTGTTGGTCGCAGTTGGCCAGCATTGTGTCCTCTTTGTACCAATCTGACTTGAATGACGGTAACTAGACGGAAGAGAGCTGGGCATTGCTATCATATCAAGTGCATAGCCGTTCTAAATTCGCTCTTTTCACGCTCCGCCATAGGCATGCAGAGCCTCGATCTGGCAAGTTTACACAATGAAAATAGCCGGTTTTGTGATCTGAACCCCGACACGGGAATCACTGAACCAGCTATTTTCATTGTGTAAACTTGCCAGATCGAGGCTGTGCATGCCTATGGCGGAAGCGTGAAAAGAGCGAATCAATTGAATAGAATTGAGTTCATTGAAACTTAAAGCTATAGTCCATCATTTGCAGCCATCCGAAAAGTAACTGGCGTAATTATTGTTGAAAAACATACTTGGTTGAAAGATAGTAAGGGGACTAAACTCCCTGTGAAATTAGTCTTTCTGGCAAGCTGTCATTTCGAAGAAATCAACGAAAGAAGGCCTTTCCAACGGTGCATCTTAAGAAGCACCGTTGGAAATTTCCGTCAGTGGTTCGTTTGTTTATTTGGTGAAGCGCGCACAAGCGTTGACACGAAACACACGCACGCGAGGTTGCTATAATTCGTCGGATCGGTGCGCGACACCACGTAGCAACAATCGGCTAATGAGAACGTGTCTCGGACGCTGAATTCAGGCCCAATTCAAAACACGATTCAGCAAGTTTTGAATTGAAATAGAGATCCTAAAATTTGGTTTTTCTCGAAATATACAGCTGAAGCTGAGCTGAAACTTCATCAGGTTAGTTGTTCAGCACCCTTCTTTACATTTTGAGCATGCTTGTTGCTTCGAACGAATAAAATGCACAAATTACAAATGATGGACTATACCTTTAAACCTGAAATTAATCATGCGCTAACCTTTTCGTGTTTCCCACTGACGACCTCGTAAACCGACTGCGACACAATGACCAATGGAGGGCGCTCTATCCTATCCTCAACAATTCTCTCGCATCGGCCCGTCCCTTCAACTTCTCTGTCCTCCTTGACTGCGGAACTCTCCTCCGCGTCCGACACGGCCTCGGTCTCGGGCTGGAGACTCAGGGGCTCGGTCACCATGGGAACCGAACTGGTCACCATGCCGATGGACTCCAGGCTGGTGGAGGGAGGGGTGGAATGCACCACTTGCTTGGAAGGGGTGAGCGGCTTGACGGGGGTGATGGGCGGCGGAGGGGAGCTGACGTTACTGCATTGTGGAGTGGGCGGGGCCTGGTCTTTGTCACTGCCGTGGGAGGAGGTCGAGAGACGGGCCGTCGTGTCTGCCGCTACACTCAGTTTGGGTGTGGACCGTGCACTACTCGCAGGATCTACGCAACGAAAAAACAAGAATAATTATCAATCAAAAAAGCAATTTCATGCCCAAAACCGCCCTGCCTAATACTCACTGTAGCGCCTGAAAACGCCCGAGCACTCTACGATTTTTATTGATTCTTCAGTGAATAAATACAATGTAATACAATGTAGTACAGGTGCTAATAGATTAAAGGGGCACTGCTTCCTGGAATACACCCAATTGGGCTACAAAACACGCTTTGAAACGAATGTATGTTAATCGGAAAGATAGATATAAACATACACGCAATTATCCTTTAAAAACTGGGCGCTTTTGAAAACGACTTTCGGGGTCCACTTTTGCGACCCCCAAAAGTTGGGCTGTTCAGTACTACATGTAGTTGTGATTCCAACTGCAAAGTGTTTGCCTCTTGCGGTCATGTAAGAAACCACATATTGGTGCATTTGTGCAGTGTGAAGTTATGTGACACACACACAACTTGTATCGTACATTTAATAAAACGATAGAAAAATTGTATGCGCAATCCATCATGTCCGATGTAAATAACCAGGTTTTTTTTTTCTATTCTCGGGAATAAGGTAAGTTAACAATCCAAAACATGACATTTTTGGGGATTTCAGGACCTAGTGCCCCTTTAAGCTCTTTCAAATTTTTCAAAATTCAGTTCACTGGGTTTCATAAGTGAAAGTCCAGATGTACAAACATAATCACAACTCCAAAACGCCATCTGCCTGTGACCCCACGATGTGTTACTGAACTGTGACCTGTGACCCAAGGTCACCGACTGCACTCTGACCTGATTTAGTTGACATGTTATCGGCCTGTGACCCCAGGTCAATGTGCAGCCCAGCGGGGGCTGCCAGCTCATACTCCATTCCGCTCTCGCTCTCCCCATCATCATCGTCATCGTTGTCGCTGTCCTCGGTTACCGTGACGACGGGATCGATGGCGTCCGCCGGGATGTAGCGGCAGGCTAGGCCCAGCTCCTGCTCCAGACTGGAGAGGTCAAAGACGCCGTGGTTGACCAGGCGCAGGTCAACAGCCCTGAGCGACCTTCGAATGAATGATATGAGACAAGAAATGAGATTGGGGAATTGTTCATAATAAACAACTGTATAGGCCGTATTTTTGAGTGAAAGAGGCGCTGTAATCACGCCACTTGGGGGTATTAATCAAACATAAATTCAAGGTTATTGACATCAGTTACAGCTCAAAAATTACATTTTTACAATTTAAACCTTTAGATTTAAGTACAGATGGTAGGAAACTGCTTCAGGAAAGGGGATTTTTCTGATGATCGTACCCAGAAAATGGAGTCGTTACACTGCCCATATTGGCTTAAAAAATACACTCATTGCCTCAGTTCAGGCAAATACGAATCCGGGCACGTGATCACTGTACACTCACGAGGCCCCCTTCAATGGAGGAACCATTGTGCACGCTATTGTAAAAAAGCAACTGCCCTTAACGGATTACCTGAGCAATAGCTAGCACAATGCTTTCACCATTGAAGGGGGCCTTCGTGATAGATTTGCTAGCGTGCTCAGATTTGTCCACTGTGGGTATTTACCTGGGCATTGTTTCGCCAGTTATCGTCTTGTTAGTCAGAATGGCGATACACGGTAATCCGTCCAGGTCTTCGTAAGTCTGTGGCTTCCAGGATTTATCCGCACCTCGCCATGTCTGAAACAATGACACGATGGATGGAATAAGTTGGAGATCATAGTAGGAAAAAACAACCTCGATCTAAACAATGAGTCTATTTTACGGCGCTTAGTAAAACGGGCATATGGCAAGAAGGTTGATGAATGAAAGGCATGTAGTTTCTAGAAAGGCCACATGTCTAGTCTTGAAAAAAAATGACTGTTTACTTAATATACGCTGCGTTGCATGTAAATCACCTCATATACACCGTGTTGCATTGATATGATCTCAAATACACCACGTTGCATATACGTTGCACGCATGCGATGGGTGCGTGTGTAGGCCCGCACGCCTCACAACAGAGAACTGCAACCTCTCAATCTCATGTCTGGCAGGAATGTTTGTGGTACTCCAAAGGCTATACACTGCAGTGATTTGGGTTTTTTTCTTAGATAGTCATCATCCGTTTGACTTGTTGGCACAATATAACAAAACAACGGGTGCTAAAACACTATATCTCCTATGCACACATACATTCTGCGCAAAGTTGTCCTTTCAACCAAAATCAGTCCAGTGAATGTTTTTAACAGTTAAGTGCTCTCTACCTGAATAAGGCAGGATTGACTGGCTGTGATTGTTTATGTAACTTGATACAGCTGTGCTTTGACTGTGGGTGATTGACAAGACAGCAGTGCCTACCAGTTGCCTGCTTTTACCTGTCGACTGAATTTGACTAATCAGAGTGCTTGCTTGAAATATGATCTAACATTTGGTAACTACCCTGTGTAAAAGGCACGACAGGGGAAATGGATTGACTTTTTGACTGTCTGTGACTATTCAAACAGTAGGAGACTTAACATGCACAAAATTAACTGAAGCTAAGATACCTTCCCAGACCTCCAAAGCAAAATTCCACAAAGTTCATTGTTAAACTTTCACACTTCAAAAAAGTTAAATTCAGGCAAAATCAAGTAAACTGAAGATCGAAAAACTTTCAACAATTTGTACAAACCTGCAGTCTCTTCAGGAAGTATTCGTCGACAGTTAATTCCTGATCGCTGCCACACAGCAGGATGTCCAGCCGGTACTGAAAGCCGAGCTTGTCGCGCACGGTGCGCAGCTTGTCGTGCGCAAGGATGGCCAGCTGGGGGCACGGGATGCGCAGCAAGATCATGTGACCCTGTCCGCTGTCGCTTTCCAGAGGTGCGGTCACGAGATCCTGAAATGAAGATCCAAAGAGAGAGAGAGGCTTAACTCGCAAATGTCGGCTAGTAAATGCATTCTTGCAAAATTGGTTAACTAACCGAGCGAAAACATCTTGAGCAGACTTCTGGAGCTACAGCAATGTCTTCAGCATGTCCTCAAGTACACTCAACCAAAAAAGAAAGTTCCCCCTTAATACTTTTTTGTCTAACTCAAAAACTACTGGGCACATCTTGCTCAAATTACAACTGATCAGTACAGAAATTCCTTAGCAATTCAGCCATACTCTTTGTTTGGCCGAAAACAATGATAATGTGTACAAAGTGATGCAATTTATGACAAGTGGTACCGAAAAAAAGTTGCACTTTTGTACACTTGCAAGGTGAGTTTGAACCGCAACATGCACGTATACAAAAGTGCAACTGTTTTCGGTATCATTTGTCATAAATTGCATAAATTCGCACACATTATTACCGTTTTGGGCCAAATAAACAGTATGGCTGGATTGCTAATGAAATTCTGTACTGATCAGTCGTTATTTGAGCGAGAGGTGCTCAGTAATTTTTGAGTTAAACAAAAAAGTATTGGAAGGGGGGGACTTTCTTTTTTGGTTGAGTGTAATTGTTGAAGACCTAGACAATCACCGGGTGTAGATAGTCATAGATCAACGGATCTGACGTTCTCGCAGTTGGCCGCCTTTAATTGGAAATGATCTTTTGGACTTTAAGCAGGAGCTCTCCTCACGTGAGCCCATTTGTGGCTCAGTACACCGTTGGACGAGCCACACACTCGGGGGTACTGGTCGCAAGAGTTGCTGCCCAATAAATAAGAATCTATTGCGGGAGGCACGTGAGGCCTTACCTGAAGAATCTTGAAGCTGATACTAGTCGTATCTTCTCGTATCTCGGGGATGCCAGCAAGTGACATGAGCGCCGCCGAGTATTGACGGATCAATAAGTAGGTGCAGACCACCATGCTGTGTAGCTTGGGGTATCTGAAGGAATATAGAAATACAACAAAATTCCCATGAGTTTTCGCTGATATTTCCCTGAGAAACGTCCAAAATTCCGTGAGAAATATTTTCACTTTAACGAGGTTGCTGGGAAGTCAAGAGGCGGTGTAGCACAGCCTATTTTTATTGTCGGGAGAGGCGTGTAGTATTCACACTGCATAAACACTAGAAAGCCACCATGGCCAGTCAGTTTGTGGACACAGCTTGGACACATGGCACAAGACACACAGACGCCGAACTGGTGGAAATCTTTCCCTTCTGGGTCACTGTCAAATTACCTGAGATTGCCCTGATTTTTGGTATTTCCCTGACTGGCAAATTCAAAACTCAAGTTTGCTTGAAGGTAATTAGTGTTGGAATGCATATAATAGTATTCCCTTGTGTACATGTATGTAATGTGTATTTTTCGGATACTTTGGATGTATATAATTCATATATTCCCATATGCTTCCTTTCTGTAAAAATTGCAGTTTTTCTGTTGTTTTTAAAGGGGGTGTATTATTATTATTTTTTATTTTTTTTCGTAAGTAATATTTGTCATATGTATTTGGTTTCGTGACTGGCATTTTGCTTGTCCTGTTATATCATCAATTCTTTCGGTCAATGTCTCTATGGGTTGGTAATTTGTATATGTATTATATTTGTATGTGTATATAATGTGTGTATTTTATTTGGATACTTTTATATTTTTTGGGATATGCGTTTATTCAGTTTTTCTAATTTACTATTTTACTATTTTTATCTTTGACATTTTAAATCTTTGTATTGATATTTTCATACATTTTAACGTTACAATTACAGTTTTTTCTCTAATTTAATTTTATAATAATAGTTTATTTTTTAAACTTGTAAAGCGCCTTGAGCGTCTTTTTTAGACGGATTTTGGCGCTATATAAATGTTCACTATTATTTTACTAACAGCTAGGATAGGGCGACAGATTTTGCTAACTCCGTCCACAATAGGGCGACACACCTTATTAAGGCGACATATAACTGTCGCCCTTTTGTGAAAACGACCCTTAGGACAAGGAATGTTGCTGTCGCAAACCATCTAGATCGATTCCTCGTGGTCCAATTAGTATAAATACTAAATTTCATGGAAAAAGGATAAGGTAAACTTGGGTTAGGTGACAGTTTAGGTTTGTGCACACGTCTATGGGAAAGTCGCCCTAGTGTAGCAAAAAGAGTAATTATTATTATTATTATTATTATTATGTTTAACATGAAGGTTTTTAGTATGGTAACACTAGAAACTTCACTTGCAATCCCAGCTGTTGCATGGTAGGGAGTCTAGGAGCTAATCTCTGGGTACTGCTTCCCTGGTACTATTGACCAGTTGGGTGATAGTACATGCATCGTGCATGGGGGATAGTATACAAATATAACATGGTTTAAGGGGGAACAGTCAATATTAGTTCCCTGAGGTACTGCAAGTTGACAAATGAATTGCACATCAGTTATCTTGGTATTTACGTTGCTGTTTGTGTGTCTTCGTTTCAATGTTTGCGCATGGGCACTACCCCCATGCAATAGTTCCACTATTGCTTTGTAAAACGCATGTGTAGTAGACTATCACACAGGTAGCATATGCAATAGTCTACTACGCACGCATATTTAACCTTTATATTTTTTTGAAGCTAGGGTGAAATACAGTACCTCTGCAAGAGCGACTCGACGATTGTCTCGTAGACGTTATCATACTGCAGTAACGGTGCCTCATTGCTCCAGTACAAAGTGTTGCAGTATTCCTCCATGCCGAAGTAAGTGGGGTCAACTTCGGGCTGGGGAGCTGACTGCATACCAAAAACAAAACCAGACAAAACATCTTATACAATTTTACATGGTAATCCTATACAATAGCACTGCCCGGTTCACAAATGACAGTCAGTCAGTCAGATTTCGGCCGACCGTCGTTGGAAATTGATACAAAAATTCCACATTTCTTGAAAATATCAGCACACCAGGTGCCATGATTTGACAGGATTCTTTAGACTGTCATTCACTAACAGTCCAGTGAGGTATTTCCATAGCTGCCAACATTTCAAAATCCCAATTAGTAATCAACCCGCGCGGTCATTTTCAACTGCTCGTTTTATCAAAAGCTTTACCAACATCGAGTACAGGTACATGGTTTACATGTACACATACATGTGCATACCCTTCTTCTTGTGAATAATAATGTAATGTAGGCCAAAAGATAATTAAAAAAAAATAAAAAAAAAATAAAAAAAAAAAAAAAAAAAATATTTTTTTTTTTAATGTCTGAACTTGTTTGTTGGAGTCAAATAAATAATAACAATAATAAAATATGCGCATATTTTTTTGGAGATGCATGCTATCGATGTGGAGTTTCGAGTTCGCATCAATGTTTTTACACACAATGATTTAGGGCCACCGTCATGACCGTATGCAATAGAAATATCCCGCCAACATACCTTGCAAACGCATGCTGATTTATCTTTTCTGGACGTTGTGACAAACTCAAACTGTAAATACCAATTATTCCAACCATACTCTTATTAAATTCCATGATTAAATTGTCGCACTGATGGGTCTCAACCCGGCAAAAAGCGACCAAATGTGCTCACGATCGTCACTGAAAAGTACTCACATACATTACACACAACCACACATCCACGAGATGCACACAAATGACACACCATTGAAAAATAGTTTTAGTCTGGTCCTCAAGTACTCCACTGCGCACACTGCATTGATGTCTATCAGGTGCTTGACTGCATTCTTATTAGACTTGTCACCAGTCCATCCATTATCGCGACATTTCGCCAGAAGTTTTCGGTCAAAAACGATACTTTACAAGTATTTTTTTTTTCATTAGGTAGAAAATGGGAAATTCGTAATGTTTTAGTGGCAAATCGTATTTTCGTAATTTAACAAACAATTCGTAATAATTACGAAAAATTAGTAACAGTTGGCAGCTATGTATTTCATAATAATTTGGTAGTTCTGTGTTCTTATGTCTGCAAATGTTGTATATTGCCTTTAAGCGCCTAATACTGGTGGATATGTACACTTTAATTCTCACATGCAGTTTTCACTGACCTGTTTGACAGTTGATGACATGTAGATCTCATTCTGTGGAGGGATACGGGATTTCTTTGTCTGGAGGTTGTAGGGTAGTCCTGATACTTGCAGGGTCAGAATGTTAGGTGCGTCCAGTACATCCAGACAATTGGTGTAGCGATGTACAATGCCCCCCTGCTGTTGCTGACTGACTGAATACCTAGAAAAATGAAGAATTTTTTTTCAACGTTCCTACATCTTAATAACAAATTGGTCTTGATGATAAACATAATGAAACGATACAAGACAAGTAAAGCTGGTCCCAGAGCACACAACATTTTATTATATTGATTCATTTTTGCTAAAATATTCAAAGACTAAGCTGCAGTGGTAACGTGACGGAAATGAAAAATCCACTTTTGCTCTTCGCATGACTTATTACCTACCCATGTATCATGAAAGTATATAAAACAAGCGGCGCCAATCTAATAGACACATGACAATCAGTGAGATGGCCTAAGTCACAAGCGACAGTCAGTCAGTGAGATAGGTAACCAGTCTAATTCACATGTGACAGTCAGTCAGTGACAGTCAGGCCGCGAGATAGGTAACCAGTCTAATTCACAAGTGACAGCTGGTCAGTCATTCAGTCAGTCATGTACGACAACAAATGTGCCTAACTTGTCATTGACTTGTGACTGACTTGTGATTAATTTATGACTGACTTGTGACTGACTTACAATTGACTAATGATTGACTTGTGATTGACTTGTGACTGGCTTGTGATTTACTTATGACTGAGTTGTAACTGACTTGCGCTTGACATGTGACTGACTTACAATTCAGTGGTGTTTGGCATGTGACTGACTTGCGATTGACTATTGATTGGCTTGTGACTGGCATGTGACTGACTTGTGACTGGCATGTGACTGACTTTTGATTGACTTGTGACTGACTTACAATTCAGTGGTGATTGGCATGTGACTGACTTGCGATTGACTATTGATTGGCTTTTGACTGGCATGTGATTAAATTGTGATTGGCTTGCGATAAGCATGTGATTGGCTTGTGCTTGACTTGTGATGGACTTATAAGTGACTTGGGATTGACTTGTGACTGACTTGAGATTGACTTGTAACTGACAGAATATATCAATCATTCTAACAGGCTGGCCAGCATACACGGTTACGATATGAAAGTGGAAGGGGGAAAAAATGTGAACAACGACCATGAGAATGCTTAACCAATATGATACACAGACCTGGAGATATCTAGATGTGCCTGATCTTGCACCAGGACAAACAGCGTGTGCGGCATGATCTTGACTTTACTGATGAAGTTGTCAAACTTGGCCTGGTTCTCTGTGGACGTGTTGCACTGCATGACGTACTGCTCTGCGGTCTTCTGGTTATTGGCGGTAGTCAGTCCGAGGTCGACTAGTAAATCTAGAAATATGGTGAGAATTCAACAACAAAATCAGAGCTAGACATAGGGTAAAAGGAGGCGGTTTTGTGAATCAATGACTGTATTTGTATCACTGGTAATATTGGTAAAAACCTGGTATTTAAAGGGAATATACAACATTTGCAAACATCAAAAAATAAAACTACCAAATCATTTTGAAATACCTTGCTGGACTGTTAGTGAATGACAGTGTAAAGCATCCTGTAAAATCATGGCACCTGGTATACTGTCATTTTCAAGAAAAGTGGTATTTTTGTATCAATTTCCAACGCTGATCTGCCGACCAGCGTTGGAAAAAACTGACTTTTTTCAAATACTGGCCCCAGTTGACCATCGCACTTGTTTGCAAATGATTACACACCTATGAACGGGTACAAGCCAGCTAGACTGGTTCCCTGACCTTACAATTCCCCAATGTATGTAAACTGCTCCGTGTCTTCTTAAATGGAGTCAGGGAACCAGACTACAGAAAAATGATTGTTTTTCTTGGTTTTTATAGCATTTTCGAATCCAAAACCTCAAAAAAGTCAGTGTAACTATATTTGCTATATATTTCCAACACCCCAATTCCATCCATTTCTGAAAATTACAGCAAAAGCAAATGATGTATATTCCCTTTAAATAAATAAATTGTGTATCAACGTGATTCAGACAAGCACACTTTACAATCCTGTTGAGTATTTTGTTGTTATTTTCAACGCTAAGAAAGGGAGTGTTGGGGGATACCACTGGGAGAGACATTAAAACGTATTGCCGACAATGCCGGAGGCTCACGCGAAAATTTTTAGGCTTTGCGCACATTCAGAATAAAATAAGTTGTGCGTACTTTGTGCTTTAAGCACGCGAACCAGTATGCGCAGGCAATGTGCCCCATCCACTGGGCTCTTCAAAGTAAAAAGCGCCCTTTCTCGTCTAAGCATGGAGCTCATTGACTGGGCAATTTAACTACTTCGCACCAGGTTCATTTTTGCCGAAAATTTCGAAATTTTCAAAAGGCAAAATTATCCAAGCAACTTCTAATATACAGGCAAACGCCACAAATACTGATTCGCAAGCGTGATTTCAACAGCATTTGTACGATATTTCTTGCTCAAACCTCATATGTTTCAATACTCCGGGGTGTGCACTGGAGCGTAAATTGTACAACAATAGGCCGTGCACAAAGGTCAGCACACAGTCTGCCTCCACAGACTACATGGACTTAGTGTGTGTGTGTACAAAGGCACAAGGGATTAGCATGTTTAAACATCACCCGGAGGCAAGTCGAGGCAATCTTGATGTTTTAACATGTCAGTCGTGCCTGTGCACAAAAACAGCCAGAGCGTGTTATCACAGCCTCCGTGTTATCACGGCACGAACTGGGTAAGATAAAATTTTGTTATACTTTACTTCAACTTACTGGATTCGATGAGTCTCGTGATGGTCTGATGGTACAACATGTGAGACGGAGGAACAATGAAGAGCAAATCCACCTTGATGAAGCGACCCAGATCCAGAGCCATCTGATCCGAGTCAGCGATGGCGCAGACCTGGGACAGGATCTTCATCGCAGTGGCTATCTGCTGGGGGTGGAGTTTAAACGGCTCGGGGGCGTACTCTGGAGAAAAAAAATTTCAGTTTCAACAAATATGTTAGAAATGTTGCTAGTATCGTGACTTTTGGCATGATCCCTAGCTACATGGCATAAACAGGTTCATAGCTTCTGATTAGTGTCCCTTGAATGAAGACATTGACAAAATGGGGAAGCGCCAACATAGGATAGCTCAGTTGGTAGACTACCGGAACGGCAGTGCGTAGGTCCTAGTTTAAAACCCGGCTCCAGTCAATTTCTTTGTTACAATGTACCTAGTCAGTTTCCCTATGTGGTTTCTTTAAACAAAATAATTCTAAGATATTGGCATATTGAGAGAGTGTGGCCTAGTGGTTAGGGTTCGTGACTCGTGATCAGAGGATCAAGGGTTCAAATGCTCTGCTGGGCATATGCTGTGTCCTTGGCAAGCCACTTTTAACTCCCGTCAGCCCATCTCCACCCAGGTGTATAAATGGGTACCAGCATTAGCTGGGAGTAAGCTGCAATGGACTGGAACTCTCAGTTGAAAATTGTCAACGAAACCGTACATAAATGCCGGCCCAATGATCCATATTAATTATTGGTTCGGGACAGACTATATTTTTACATAGAACTGCAAGTTGATAAACATAAGACCCTTGAATAAAACACGTTGTGTTCTAGTGATTTTGCTTAATCTTATGTGTAGCTATTACATTTGATCGTTGAAATGACACATTGCTTAATGTCGGCCCAATGATCCATATTAATTATTGGTTCGGGACAGACTATATTTTTACATAGAACTGCAAGTTGATAAACATAAGACCCTTGAATAAAACACGTTGTGTTCTAGTGATTTTGCTTAATCTTATGTGTAGCTATTACATTTGATCGTTGAAATGACACATTGCTTAAACATTCTATAAGTATCAATTAACAGAATTTTTAAAGATAAACTAGTCGTAGCTTACAAGTCGAAACGCAGAATTAATTACAGTTTATACTCAGGTTTGCAGGAAAACCAAATTAAAAGTTAGCAAAACCCTTGTTAATACATGTAATTAGTGCTCACGTGAGCAAATTTGTTTCAATACTGGCTGAAATAAAGTTCACAACATTTTTCATTTTTGTGGATGAAACCCAATTTGCATGGCCAAATATAAGACATGTTAAACGGGCTTGAGTTGGTAGCGAACGCTCAAATTTTCCGTGGGGCGTGATAAGGTGCCTGACCTTTCATTGTGCTAACTTCCATCTCCTTGGCAACGCTCTCTTCAGTTCTCTGGAGCAGTTCTCCGTTGAACGGCACAAACACCTCTCCTTCCAAAGTGGCGGAAAACGACTCCAGAAGTATGTCGATGTCATGACCAACTACAGCGAGAAAAAAAGAAAGAAAAGATGTTTATCACATGCCATAGTCCCTGTACTGTCCAAAACTGCCCGACCACTCTATGGTTTTATAGACTTTATTCACGAGTCGGCCATATCAAATTGAAAGTGAGGTAAAAAAACTCTTCATTTTTGGAACTTGCGAGTAGAAATGAAAGCAATGAAATAAAATGTTCATTACAAAATAAATTTGGTCGAAGGAGCCTGGAGGCCTGCGCGTGACCTGAGCGCGACTCGCAGGAACCTGGTGCCACCGCAGAAAGTGGCTGCTGCCAAATTAGTCATTCTCATTTCTTTCAATTTATCAATTTTTTCCCAACATTTCTTTAACCCTAACCTAACTCAACCCATCAAAGTTCAACAGCAGGTTTTGTTTAAATCTGTTGGGATAGGTACAGTACCCCAAACAGATGGTCTTTTACATTGGGTTTTTGGCATACAGAAACTAAGTCCGACAGTGTGCGTGTACAATTTCTCATGTGGGTGTTGGAATTTGCCTGAATGGGTATGGTTCCTAGTAAATTAGGCTGGGGAGTAAGGGTTAATAGCTGATGTTGTTTGTGATCACGGGGGTAAGAGTTACGAGTCCCCCCTTTTTTCTGTCTGACCCCACCCACCTGGGCTGTTCTTGCTGAAGTGATTGGTCAGTAGTTGTATCTTTCCAGTGATGATCTCATAACTGATCTCTTTGAAGGTCTCTGGGGCTGATAGCCGAGCTTCCAATAGTGCCCTCGCTTGGTGGCAACCTGCCAGGAAAAAAACCAAACCAACAATTCAACCTTTCATTCCTAAACATCACAAGGACATAATTTAATGCTCATAGCATAATGAATAATTCAACCCTCCTAGTCTTCTGCACTGAACAACCTTTCAATTTTGCAAAACCACCTTTGCCAATAAAGTGAGCACCCACAGTTCAAATTCCTTGGAGGTAATCTTCTGTGGAGTATAAATAACACTTCAAATCCCTGCACAATTCTTTTGTGTGGTTCAGCTCAGGGCAAGCAGGCAGATTCGGTCACACTATTTTTTGTGTGCAGTGACTCTCTGTGTGACACAGTTACTTGTATACTTCATATCCCTTCACCTGAAACTTGCCTGCAGGGTTTTAAAGGGTTTTAGGGCCTACAAATTGCTCGGAATATTGAATTGCCACTAGCAGGGTTAATAAATACACAAATGTACTGACCAGCACACATGGACATGAAAATGAATGAAAACTAGATTCCATATTAAAAAAAAAAAAATCAGGAGTAATCAAATGTGACAATGCCTCCTTACCGACAACGATAATGCAGAATTCCGTGCCTCGCTGCCGCGAAACATGGATGATAACATAGTACAGAGGGCGCTGTTCATTTGGTCCCATCGCAACCTGCAATTTGAGGGTTTCTGAGACGCCTTCTGCTATGGAGCTCTGTCAACAACAAAAATGTAAAGATTCTTTTGATTACATTATTTCTTGTTTAGTTTCCCTTGGATTGAAAAAAAAATGAAATTCGTCTTTTTTTAACTGACCTGGGCGATAACAATTTTGACCCTTCCTTCGGAGGTGGCCACAGCCAGCTTGGCGAGCAGCGGCAACTGGGCGGGGGCAACCGTGGTGAATTGTGGGATATTATGCTGACCCCCTAGGTCCTTGATTATTGTGTCCTGACGCGCCTTCAGGAGAGCGAAGTCCAGTTCTTCTCTACTTGGAATGCGGTCCCCTAACCAACACACATAACCAAATTTGGAATCAGTTTAATAACTAAATTCTTCTGGATGAAAATAAAGATGAAAAAAGATACAAGAAATGAAAAAGCTTTGTAATTAGATTCTTTATTAAGTGAAATTTATTGAATTCTCTGAGATTCCTTTTCTCAGTATTCTACTCAAATGTACATTATTTTTCACAAAATGTTCTTAAAGATTTTTTTTATCATATCACAGCACATTCAAATGTGACATGATTTTACAGTAAATTAGTTTAAAAAAGAACTTGGAATAGGTTTTAAACGCGTGGCCTCCAAACTGCCGTTCCGGTGCTCTTCCTACTGAGCTATCCCGCCCTATATTGGCGGTTCCCCATTTTATCAATGTCTTTGTTCAAGAGCACTAGTCAGAAGCCATATAACTGTATATGCCATGTAGCTAGGGATCACGCCAAAAGTCACGATGCTAGCAACGTTAGCAATGCTGCAAACCCAGGAAATAGCAAACGGGGATCACTCAGAGAGGATACAGCTTTTTATTACAAATAATCAAACCACAAAGGAAAACTGACTAGGTACATGTGGGATTTGAACAATCCACCTACGGATTACCGTACCGGCACCCTACCTACTGAGCTCAAAAAACAATCTGGGCACGGTATCAATTCTATCAGGGAGGCCCCCTTCAATGGCAAAAGCATTGTGCTAGCTATTGTTCAGATTATCTGTCACGGGGCAGTGGCTTTGTACAATAGCATGCATAATGCTTTCCGCCATTGAAGGGGGCCTCGTGAGTGTACAGTGATCACGTGCCCGGATTTCATCTATAGCCAACAAAAATAACAAACAGGATTACTCAAGAGAGGATACAGCTTGTAATTACCCCCGAAAAAAAACATTTTAAGAACTTGAACTTAAAAGCTCACCAAGCTGAACAAAATACTGGATCATGACCAGCGCCATGGTCTCAAAGTTGATGCTCTGCATGCCCAGCAGACTCAAGCTCTCTGCAACGTGGGCCGTGATCGGCTGCGACGGCTTCAAGCTCTCACGGAACAGCGGACTGACCACGATGTCGCCGACGCAGCCGTGGAAGATGGGGATGCTGCCGCTGCAGTCCAGGATGACGACCTTGGAGCAGCAGGCTTCGGCCAGGCCGGGGGTGATGAAGGAGGTGTCCTGCAGCCCGCTGGTCAGGGGCGGGGGGATGAAATTGGGGGATGGAGGGGCGGAGGGGCGATGGCGGGCCGCTTGGGTGGGTGAGTCGGTGAGCCATCTGTACAAATTCAAATAAAATAGGTTATATCTGAACGAATGGGGGGGGGGGGGCGACAACGATGTATTAAGAGATTTTCAGATTAATTGATATTATAACCTTTGATATGTCTACTACACATATTTTAAAGAAATAGTATAAAAATCGTGGAATAAAAGTGTTTTTAAGAACAACCAATTGGCATCTTTCATTTGCAGGAAGACGAAACTTGATACATTAACCCTAACCCACCTCACTCCTCCAAAATCCTCCTGGCGGTTTTGGAGGATTCTAGAGGATTGAGGATGAATGGTGATTGAATCAAATGAGGATTCTGGAGGATTGAGGATGAATGGTGATTGAAGCACATGAGGATTTTGGAGGATTGAGGATGAATGGTGATTGAAGCACAAGAGGATTTTGGAGGATTGAGGATGAATGCATTTTGAGGCAGGACTGTCTGATGATTTTGAAGGATTTGGCGTTGGTTATCCTTCATTTAAACACGAGTGCAAAGTTTTGGGATGAGGAGGATTTTGGAGGATTGAGGATGAATGCATTTTGAGGCAGGACTGTCTGACAATTTTGAAAAATTTAGGCGGAGTTGCAAAATTTTGGAAAATTTTGGAGGATTTTGGAGGATTGAGGATGGTTGTAAGCAACAAGGGCCTAGGGGGTTAGGGTTAAAGGCCCTTTTCTCAGCATTTTAATTTTCGACGTGTTGATAAGTTCAAACTTTAAACAGCCACAACTTGTCAACGGAATGTCTGATTGAAATACAGCAAACAGGATTGTAAAGGAGAATTTTATTTTCTTTCCTAATACTTGCAAACCCTCATTTCGACCTCTGCCCAGTTGTGTCTCATTTTGCCAGAGCGCCTCAATAAATTTGCATAATAGTAACTGACAAACTGATCACCTCTCAGCCGTTCCTCGTCCAGACTATGGAACCGATGCCTCTTCTTGATGGGCTGCTGGTGAGAGCTGGGCTCCCCCGCCTTCATCAGTGGAGGAGTCCCACTTGAATAGAGATGGGCCGTTTTACTCGGGCCGTGGGTAGGGGCGGACGTGTCGTGCGGAGGGGCCGTCCCGTAGTGGTTGATGGTCGCCGAGGGCGACGTCTTTGGTTGAAATGAGGATGAGGCCTGGTTGCCGTGGTAACTGATGTTCGCTGTGGGACTCATAACCTGGCGTGGTACTATCACTATTGGTTTAAAACCAATAATATAATTTTTTTTATTAATTTTCAAAATGTCAAGAAAAATAAGAACATTTACATGCTTTAATTTTAGTTTCATACATGTATTTGTGATGTATGCCATGAAAAAAGAAAGACATGTTTCTATAAATAGCAGTTCTTATGATAAATGATTGCATATTCATGCTTAAAATGGTTAGCATTCCTCAAAAGCAATGAGTATAGTGCCACCATAGATTAGTGTGCCTAACAAATACAAGCATTTTTTTTCTGTTTAAGGTACGTAACATCATTTGCTTTTGGTGCATGATCATTTCGTTACTTGAAATCTTTAGTACCGTGCATAACGACTATACTGTTTCAGCTCAGTGGATACCATACATTTTGAGAAAACAGAGAAAACGTGTGCACAAGTTTTTGGAGTCAGATAGCTGGATTCAATTGCTAAAGCACGTAAAAAGATGTACCCGCGGACACCCTATTTTGAAACCCCCTTCCATGTTATTTTCCTCCAAATGATACCATTTCAGGAGGAATAATGTCACAGAATAATTGACACCAGTCCTATCTTCACTTTGAGCGAGGTTTCTGTCATTAAATCATTCAGTACTTTTCCAGGTTTATTGCAAATGATGCTACGTGGCTTTAAACAGGCATGCACATGCGTATCAAACATCCGCCAATTTAGTTCATCAGCAAAATTTGCCAACTCAGTCCGAAATCAATTTGAAACTTCAAAGACAAAATCTTTTGTGAGAAAACTTTGTAAGCATCGGCAGAAAGTGCTTAAAAGCTAGTTCATGCTTCACGCGAAAACAAATTCGGAGCGAATTTGACGTCACAAAAAACTCGTCACGAAATTCACCAGAATTCACATATGTTCGACTTTTTGCGAATTCGCAGCACGAAAAGTTGTCGTGACGTCTTCGCGTTTCGTATTAACTGACCCTGATGAGGAAAGAAAAATGGAATCGTGGATGCATATGAATTGGCTCGCTGAGTTGCCAAGGAAACCAACTTGCCTGATGTTTGAGGCATGCTCACGTTGGGGGGCGGCGTTCCCATGTAAACGCCCTGTGAACCAGGGAAACTTGTCTTGCGGCATTCTTCAAGAACAAGGACAACAGACATTGCTATAACCACACTCTACTCCATTTTATAGTACATGTAACTTCATACGTAAAGACTACCTCATAGAAATGTGACTTACGACTTATGGCCGGCTCACACTCAGTGCGAAAGGGGAAGCAAATGCGAATTTGTGCCGTCACGGCAAGTTTTGGCGCTGCGAATTTCCAAAGTTGTACACATTTCAACTCCGGCAATTTCACAGCGAAAGTTTCGTGACGTCAAATTCGCATTCATATTCGCATTCGCACGAAGTACCAACCGGCCTTTACATAGTGCTTCTAAAAACCTGTGCAACTAATCTTGTAAACCTTGGTGTTTTCAAGAATGACCCCAACTCAAAAATATGTTTGTTATTTGAATCCTTATCAATCTTTGAACCAATAACCAGCCTTGGTCAAGATTTCGAAATGAAGGAAAACTCTTTAAGATGCTTCAAAAACTCTACTTTTGAAGCTACACTTTAGATTGGGTTGAAATTAAAGTTGATGGCCTATTAAAAATCGTAGTGGCTATCGTTATGGCAGCCGTAACGCCATTTTCATCTGCTATTGTTATGGTATTGCAAAATCACTAGTATACTTATAACTACCCGTTCAACAAGAACGCTTCAGTAGCTCGATTGGTTACATGTTCGACTTCTGTGCTGGGGATCCAGATTTGAAACCGCTGCCGCACTGCTCAATTTTTTGTAAATTTTTTTTTAAATAGTTTTCTTTACTTTTACATTTTTAATCAATTAATGAAATCGTTCTTTTCATTTAAGTAGATTTCATTTTCTTAGTAATCCGCAGCTTTGGAATTTTTTTTTTTAAGGGAAATAAAGTTCAAGAACCATGCGGTTGAATGATAGTCTGGTTCCTACAGCCAAAGATCCTGACGTTAATTACTATTAGGTCAGGGAACAAGGCGGTTCAGTAACGATAGCAGTTGAAAATCGTGTTACGGCTGCCGTAACAATAGCCACTGCGATTAAAAATAGCTTAAATTTGCAACAGCAAACACTGTAGGATTTCAAGTAGAAATTTGTTAATGTGTTACCAGAAATGGAAAGGCTTATTGACATTTCTACCAATCTCTATGAATTTATTATGTTTCCGTGTAAGTCCAATAGTTTTTGGTACTGTTTGTTTTGCCTGGTCATAGTTTGGGGGGGGGGAGGGAATCATGATTTCACCCTTTGCCTACACATTCTCCGTTATCTACTAGTTTAATCAATAATTTTATTGACTTAACGATATTACATCCTGTGATCTATATTGATATTGACAAAATTGGGAAAAAGCAAACATAGGGCTGGATACTTCAGTTAGTAGAATGCCGGAACGGTAATCCTGAGGTTGCAAGTTCAACTTCCCTTCCAGTCAATTTCTCTTTTCAATTTTGTCAGCCAAAACAACCCAAGTTGTGTTGGCCTCATCCGTCCGGCCCAAAAATTCTGAAAATTGGGGCCTTTCTCTTCCCCCCCCCCCCAAAAAGTCACTTAAAAAAACAAATCGGCCACAAGTTGTTTGTATGTGCGCGACAAAAATGGACGGCCATGCAATCTGCATGATTTTATTTAATTGTACACAAATTGATTCAAACAGCAATTAATGAACGCTCAAGAAATTTTTAAAAAATGAATAATTACAGCTATATAAAATACAACTACCCATTCTTTCATGGTTGGTCAATTGTCAGAAGAAAGAGTAAACAATGTATTAAAAACGAACCCAAAAAACAGGCTATACAACACAACTTTTTTTGGGGGGGGGAGCCTAATTAGTTTGCAAAAAGTAACGATACGAAATTGCCTTTAACTCGTACGCACCTTTCCAGGGAATGTTGGGTCCTCTAACGAGTTGGCCTTGCTTGTTGCGCACCAAGTAATACTTCAAGTGTTTCTGTTTCTTGGCTTGGGTCGTCAGCTTCAGGTTGATATGATGAGAGAACTCAGTGAAATAGCGGAAACCTTTCTCTCCGCAGCCGACACAATTGCCGCTGAATCCTGTAACAAAAGCAGAATTTGGGATTTTTTTTGGAAATCAAACACTGAAATGAAAACACAACTGTTAAAACAAAATAAGGAAAGACTGTTGCATCCTGATTATCTCAATGAAGGTCAGTCATTGCAAAAATGTTGCAAAGACATGAATCTGGGACTGAGAAACATTCCCGATTTTGTTAGAAAATGCTTCGGAATTGCACTCAACTCTCCATAGACTTTGTACACAACCAAAGAAGTGGCGCTAGGATACTACATTCTTTCCCAAAATAGGTTGCCTCATTTGGACTGAATTAACCGAAAGCACATGCACTTCATTGTATAACAATGTACTTCACTGACAGTGGAGTTTGGCCTAGTGGTTAGAGCTCTTGACTCATTATCAGAGGGACAGGGTTCGAATCCAGTTGCTGGCCATATGTTGTGTCCTTGGGCAAGCCACTTCACCTCCAACTTGCCTCTCTCCACCCAGGAGTATAAATGGGTACCGACATTAGCTGGGGAGTAACCTGTGATGGACTTGCATCCCATCCAGGGGGTAGTAGAAATATTCTCAGTCGTTTCATGCCCATGAAACTGGAGATAAACACTTGCCTGATGGGCCATGGATTGGCGTGTGGCACTGATGAATCCATTAACCCTAACTCCCTAGTGTCTTGTACCAAGTACTGGACCTAGCCGGCCAAAATCCATCCTTGACCCTTCTTCACATATTAATGCGTTTGGACCAAATCCGCCAAAATCTACAAGACCATCACTACTATAGGTGGATTTTGATGGACTTGGTACTCATGGCTTTGCCTACCAAAATCCCAAAAATGTGAGGATGGATTTAGGGCTAAACCATTGAGGGCGCTACAGGGACTAATGGGTTAAACAATGGCCAAGTTCGGGCAAGGACCATTAGTCGACTAGTGGTTGATTTGTGACGTACCTTATGCCTGCGCACTGATAGCAACGTGCGAACGTCTCTAGTCAAACGCTGGTCAAAATGTCATCGCAAAACTTCTGGATCCTGGCTCCCTGCTGCGCGTTATGAATGCGCGCTGCTATTGGTTACCAGCGAAGCAACCAACCTCAGTAGGCTGGTTCCAAATAGTCGACTAGCGTAGTCGACTAGACAGAGTTCGGGCAAACGTTAGTTAACCATTGGTCAACTATAGTCCTTGCGCGAACTTGGCCAATGAACACTAAACATGTACATATACATTTATTGTGGACTTGTGTTGATTTCAAAATGGATAGCCAAGATGATAGTTTGAAATGGCCTGGCATGACAGGATTTCAGCACAGAATACATGTATACAAGAGCGTCCGGGGTAAATTGGAATGGTAAGCCCAAGAAATTGACTTGCATTTATTAGATGCTAAGCTACAAGTAAATATTTGTTGCTTACCAAGCAGAGCAAGTGATGTGCTTGGGTCTGGGAGGAATCGGGCATCCACCGCAGCAACTAGGATGTTCTCTGGCAGATACGGCGACTTGGTCCCGACCAGAACGAAGCCTTTGGGAACGTCAAACTGCCTCTCGCTTAACTCTGTCAGGCGGATGTCTGCACCAGCTTGGCAAAATCCTGGTTGAATTACGGAGATCATGGTTTTTAATTGACAAATCTTTGTAAGCGCCACAGCATGTGCATGCATCAATGATTTTGTAAAGGATGTCAAAATTAAAACTGAAAAAAAAAAAAAAAAACATACTACAGAGAAAAATTAACATTAGGCCTCAGAAAGCCTACTAGCATGGTTGTCATCACGTCTGTCACAAGTCAACCACAAGTCAACCACAAGACAACCTCAAGTCAGTTATCTCACAAGCTATTCCAACAAGCTATGGGCTCCATGCGCGAACCAGAGAGGGCGCTTATTTACCACCTTCGAAGGCCCTATGAACAGGACACACCGCGTATGCGTACTGGTTTGCGCGCGTGTAGCGTGAAGTACGCACGACTTATCTTATTCTGAATGTGCACAAAGCCATCACATCAGGCGTCGTCATCATTCTATTCCAATGTCACTCCAAGTGGTCTCCCCAAACTCTCCTTTCTTTACTGTTGAGGGGGTACTTGTGCAAGGAGAACAAAAGACTTTCGTTTGTCATTGTGCATCTTCTGTTACTCGTAACCTGACTTGTGATTGACTGGTGATTTTTGACTTGTGAATGACTTGTAATGGATTTCACTGTTAAACTCTGCTAACAAAAAAGTGAATTACTTTGAGCTTCACTCAGCAATTTTTGTCTTGTTTTTTTTTGCTGCTGTCCTGAGTTCAGAACCACTAAAGTGACAATCTACAAAAGGTGTCCAGTGTGCAAACAGTGCTCAATCAAAATAACAGGAAGATCAAATAAACCACAAAAGCAAACAGACAAATATAGCACAACAAAATTGAATGGAGTAGAATTTAAGAATGAAAGCGGACTGACTAGAATACAACAATGAACTCCAAAGCACTGCCCACAATGTGCGAAATTCTGGAAGTAATTTTTACAAACAGTTGAATATGTTTTTTTTTTTAAAGCGTTGCTTGTCTTCCAAATTGTTCTGCAAATCCCAAATTCCAAATCCTTCTTTTCATTCCAAGCAGCACGGAGGGAAGCAGAGGGCAATAAATTGATTACTGAAAATCCTTCGCAGAGATCCTGGAGAAATTAAACCGACTTGAAAACAGGAAACGGTGAGGATATACCGGTAAAAGCACTCGGACAGACTTCCCACTTAAGCTGCGCCTAATGGCATCCCAAGGACGCATCTACCTGAGGACGTATCTACTTAGGACACGTCTGAGTTGGACATGCCAACCATTATGATATCTAACTCCAGCTAATGGCCAATGTCTGGCTGCAGTTGGAAGGAACAAGCTACAACCACATGCAAAACTTAATGTTTGCTGGAACTGAAGGGCGAGCCTATTGTCCTCTGACTGAGTCACCGACTGACTGACTGACTGCCTGACTCCCCCCCCCCCCCCCCCCCGACTGACTCCCCGCTTGCCTGTCTGACTCCCCGACTAACTCCCCGAATGACTCATGAGTCATGGAGTATTCCTAACTGAGACTATTGTGTCAAGCTTGACGAGACAAGATTACTCTTCTTTTTCTGTTCCGACATGAAGGTATTTTTACATCATTATGCGGTAAATTATTGAATACCAACAAAACCATTAAACTCATGCGTACGGGAAGCGGTCGCGGTCATGGCCGCGGTCGCTAATCCTCATTGGAATGCAGTTGCCAACTGTGGTATGCCGTGGCACACAGCTAGTGGGTAGTTCCACAGCTGCTGCTTTTGTGCAGTCCCGCTACCACACAAAGGCTGTGCAGTCATGCGGGCCACTTGCTCTATGTGTGGAGGAATGTCCCCATTACACCCCGTCCTTAAGGGGTTCATTGAGATAAAGATTGCCGACTAGAAAATGTGCCCACAGGATACTTCATTCCAATTCAACCATTTATCATTCAGGCATGCAACTGGGGATTTCGAGAAAAAAAAACGAGGAAACTCCGAACCACACAAGACTTTGTACAGTGTTTGTCAATTTGTAATGGCATTCATGAGAAGTGAAAAACGAGGAAATCAGTGAAGCCGAGGAAAAATTGCATGCCTGATCATTTGGAAGACATTTCTATAGAAAATTCTGATGCTTGAATAACTTTTTAGCAGATTTTCCCTTCAATTTTAAAATTCAAATGATGTTATAGGTTAGGTCCCTTTTTTTCGGTGAAAACTGCGAGAAAAACAACTGCATTGGATGTATAATAATTATACATAAAAGCAAAGCAAAGATATTGACTCGAGTGGGGTTTGAACCTTGGACCTTCAGATGCATGTCAGTTAGACCTACCAACTTCTTGGCAACCGCCAGTCAGAGTGTTGTACAGCATCCCCACGTTATCCAAGTACTCTCGTCTGTACAGCGGTTGCGATTCTTCATTTGCAGAACGTGGCGAGCCTTGCCTCGAGGTCGACGTGGACGAGGACTGGCTGTGCGACATGACACCGCCCTCTTGTGACGAACGCGGGTGCTGGATTTGTTGAAGCGGGGGCGGGGGTTGTGTCACGAAGGGCAGCACGAAGCGTTGCTGGGGGAGGTGATGGGGGGTCAGCGGCTGGTTAGGGAGTCTAGGCGAGGTCAGTATTACAGGCATGGGAACCGGCGATTGGATGGAGGTCGAGTGGTGGGAGACAATCGGCGGGGGAGGGAGACGGGGGATGGGAGGGGCTTCATTGATTCCGCCGGGCGGGGTTGGGAGGCTAGAGGGCTGGGGAGGGGCAGGGCCGAGGATGTGGAGGAGGCGGTGGTCGAGATGGACTCCCTCCGTGATGCATCCCCGGATATCTGATGAGGTTCAAGATCTTTGACATTGGGTTTCACATCTGACAATTAAAAAGAAAATCAAACAAAATAATTTCCGATATAGAGAATCATCCCTGACCCTCCTTAGTCGGCTAAAATCTCCCCCAACACCCACAAAATAAGATCACTTCTGGATTTTTTTCCTCACCTTTGTCCAAGTACAGCTGGGAGAACAGCGGTTGCGGTGTGGTGGTGTTGGATCGTAAGGACTGCTCGATCGACATGTGCAGAGCAGTCTCAAACTTGGAGGACTTGAGCTGACCCTGCGAGTTGCCCATCGTCTGCGAAAGGATACAGAAATACGACGGGAAACGACCGATCAAATTAGTTGTTCCTGTTTGCGAGACATTTGTTAACAGGGCTGTAATGCTTGGTAAAATCAGTAACTTTTTTTTGAAGCACATGGACTTAAAACTGACCAGGGAGATATTTCAGGGAGTACAGAAGTTTGCTAAGCATAGAAGCAGTAGTGCTTAGCACAAATAGGTTACCAGCCAACAAGTCAACGATGTATATTGCATGTGACTGGTACTTGGCAGCATTTCCACTTTAGCACGTAATTTTTATGTATGCACATGTATGCAATTTCACTCAGGAATCTCAGGACACTTCAACATGACAATGCTGCATTTGAAATGGGCCAAAGAAGGTTAATTTCTGTGGGGAAAAAAACACGAACATATGGGAGATTGGGGTTAGTTGGAACAAGTCTGTTAAAATAAATCCCTAACCCTGCTCAATCCAACAGCATCCAACTATTTTACATTTTCGTTGGATCCTGTTGGATTGAGCGGTAAACATGGTAAAGACCTTGTATATATTCCTGTTGAAATCTGCTGGATTCAGCAGGTAGCTAAACAGTGAACATAGTTGGATTCCGTTGGATTTTGCAGGCAACTGAAAAAATTCAGAGTCGGATGCTGTTAGGTACTGGTTAATAATACCAAGTTGGACTCTGTTGGATTCAGCAGGCAACCAATAATATGGACAGTTGGATTGTGTTACATTCTGTTGGATCCAGCAGGCAACAGAATAATAAGGCACAGTTGGATTCTGTTGGATTGAGCAGGCCAGTCGTTTTATGTTTTTCAGATACATTTTCGCATCAACTGGGCAAGTTGGATTGCGTTGTCTATTCCAGGCCCGTACGATGGATTGCGTTGTACTGTGTTGGAATTCGCAGGGTAGTTCTGGGGTATGTAATAGGGGGTTAGGGTTGGAGCTGTGGCCTGGTGGCATTGTTAGATTCAGCGGACCTCCCACTTTGAGTACAAAACTTGAAATCTATAACTTTCTTAACTGCTGCAAATTGCATGTCTTGAAATGAACAGAGTAACCTCGCTTTTAAAAGGTTGAAGAATTGAGTTTAGACATACATGTAGCATATGATAAGCTTGGATGGGTAGCAAATTTAAATGTATAAAACATCCGATTTTCAGACTTTTCTTTCCACTCTATTCACAAATCACATCATCATTTGCATCCAGCTTTTTCAAGGACATGTATGCAAACAGTAAACTAAAAGCAAATTCCACAAAAAAAGTTCGAGAAATAAGCACACACAATTCGGCACCCCCATTCAATAGTGTACAATCCTTCTGGAGATTACCGTCCTTTTGGCGACGGCCCAGTTCCAGAACGTATTGTCCTCCTTTGAAAAAAAACTTCTCCCATTGAAAGTACCAACTTCAGCTCGCCTTTTGTCAAACAAGGCCAGGAGGGCTTAGCTCCCCTCCCAGTTGCAAAAAAAAAAGAAAGAAGCAAAGCATTGTGTGGAAAGTTGAGTTGGGGATTGTTAGGTCGGAACGCCGTGATGAGATACGGTTTAACGAGTAACAACAAAACCCCGGACAAAAGAAGACGCCTCAGGGGCTGAATTAACTAAGTCGAGCAGCGTTCCGGTGCCGTTGTTTCCTTCAAGGCCAAAGATCAAAAGATGGGGAGAAAGTGCACAGTAACTCGGGACTGTGCTATTACGACTAGCGTTCGCCCTGCTATTAGGGATTATGGTACAATGCGGTTACCTTCGCTATTGAGTAACGGTGTTTTCATAGGCTCCTACAGTTAAATTCAAACGGTGAGAAACATTTAAGAACAAGAATGTCTGCAAGTTTGAAAATTTCAAAAACCTTAAAGGTTTGATTAAAGAGGCATTACGTCCTGCCATGTGCCCAATTGGTCTACAAAACGCATTCAAAACAAAATAATATTAATTGGAAAGAGCATTTAAAAGTAGGATATAACCCTCCACACAACTATCCTTTAAAAACTGGACATTTTTGTGTTTTTCTGGCAAGAACAAATTTCGGGGGTCAAAATTTTGATTCTTATAAATCAAGATGTTGGGTGCTCGTGAGTTGTGATTCATCAGTCGCACATGCTCCACCAGTGCATCTCATTCTGCGGATGTGCGAGAAATAACAGTTGTGTTTTGGTGCTGTGTGTATTATGTGTCACACACACAACGTGAAACGGAAATTTGAATGGGCACGGCTGGAAATGCGTACATGCGTATTCCTCAAATTGTCCGCCGCATCCGCAGAAGTAAACAACCGGGACTTTTTGTCTTTTCTCAGAAACAGTGCGACATTAGGTGATTAGTTTTCTCTCAACTAGAACTTTGTAATAAGATGAGTAAACAATCTAAACATAAAAATCTCGGCGATTTCAGGACGTAATGCCCCTTTAACTTGATAAGGAATGAGATGATGTTTTTTGATAATCATGTTAAAGGGAATGTACATCATTGGCTTTTGCTGTAATTTTCAGGAATGAACTATTTGAGGGGTTAGTATAATAGATCAAATATGGTTACACTGACATGTTTGAAGTTTTGTGTTCACAAATGCTGGAAAAACCAAGAAAAACAAAAATGTTCAAGTAGTCTGGTTCCTTGACTCCACTAAAGATAAAATGGATCAATTTATAGATGCCGGAAAATTGTAAGGTAAGGGAACCAGTCTAGCTGGCCTGCACCCGTTCATGAACATGTAACCAATAGCAAACAAAATTTGGACTGAAAAAAGTGTAAAGTTGGAGCAGTAGTTGAAAAATAGTTAGGTTTTTCCAACGCTGGTCGGCCGATCATCGTTGGAAATGTATACAAAAATACCATTTTCTTGAAAATGACTTCACACCAGGTGCCATAATTTTACAGGATGCTTTAGACTGTCATTTACCAACATCCTAGTAAGGTATTTCATAAAAACTTGGTAGTTTTATTTTTTGATGATTGCAAATGTTGTATATTCCCTTTAAGGTTCAAAACATAGTCATGTATGTGTACACATTCACTCAATCCCTTTGAAATCAATGTACAGTGAATATGAAGCAATGCAAGCACCTCACTGCATGCAGCTCAAACACAAACTTGCACTTATTTTCACTTCCGGCCATTATCATCATGACCCCAAATCTTCACTGATCTTATCATAATCAGTAATCAGATTATAGTCACCACATTGACAAATCACAGATATTTGGGTAATCTATATCATTCACCTTGAATGTCTATTTCTTTGATCATTAAATTATCTGCACAAGGACCAATATCATTTATAGTTCTATCAAATTTTATTAAAATCTTTAATATCATAATCATTACCAAATATCATTCTCATCATCAAAACATGGAGGTAGGAAACACTCTACAATCATAACAACCACACATCCCCAACATCACAATTTTTACCATCATGCAACCACAATAAGAAATAATGGTCATTTAGTAATCTTTCATCCACTCACAATAATCACAAATAACATCATTAACCATGACCTTTGGTCTTCACCAAACATTTTATTAATTAAACAAAGACAAATATGAAACCAATTGAAAGAAAACATAAGTTTCCAATATATAGGTGGCCTAATCAGGGTTTTGCTTCTTGTTCTAAACCTTTCGAATATATTTATCGCCTTGTAAACATTATGGCAACTATAAACAATTATAAGGCGAAGAAAAAAACAAACAAGTTTCTTGTCCCCGCCCGCTTCCTTTTTGGAGGCCGCCTGAATTTTTTTATTATTTTTTATTTTTGAAAAATGTAGTAGAAAAACACCGAAAAAGTCTACAAATTCATCGGAAAATAAATACCAATACCAATACAACTCTAAATGACACTGTAAATATGTTCAGTTCTCTTGTCCAACTTGTCTTTCATCTTTAAACGTGTCTTTGAACAGTGGAATACCAATGGTTGCAGGAAATTTTGAAAAGGCGGTCATCTTGAAAAAAATAAAAAATAAAAAATAAAAAGCCCCGCTTCCTCCCTTTTTCCAAAACCCGGACGAGAAACTATTTTTTTTTACTCGGCCTAATGCAGATCATACATTAAATTAAATTAAGCACATTGATTCAGATTAAAAATGATTTAGAATTAGAAACAATTGAATCAATACTTCTCAAGTTAATCTTTATTCAAATGAGAGACTGGACTAAAATGCTACTTTGCTAGCTAACCATGCTAACCTTTGTAATATGATTGATATGAGTATTATGACCATGATATGACAAGGTTAGCTAGCATTTTTGTCAAATCTCTCATTTGCATTTATAGCTGGAGTTACCTCAGCTCAGCCCTAAATTTTGTCATTGGGTAAATGACAATTCCCAATGATAACATTTAGGGCTGAGGTAACTCTAGCTACATTTGCATAAAGATTCATATTAGAATAGATATGGCATATAAATTAAAACTGAACAAACAACTTTCACTCAGCACAAAGCATTCTTTCTCTAGATAATCTCTTGGCATGCCTGGCTTCATGATTCAAGGCCACACTGCCTACGATCTTACCCGTAGAATTCATCACATTATGCACAACGAATACAGCACCACACACACACAACGCCATTTACAATGCAAACACACGAACAGCAAAAGCCGCAGCGGTCAAGGGACTCGATAATCATTTCCCCCCACTGAAATTTCCCAACGAAATTCTTGCACAAAAACATCTTTCTCTCCGCCACCGAGTACCATTACACGATCATTACATGTCAGACTAATGCACACCACCTTCGGTTTTTAAAAATTCGACTGAAAATGTGGAAAAGTAAGAGGGTAAACTTACGGTGTCCGCACACGTTGGGCTGTTTTTGAGGTCGACAGGTGCCTTGTTTTATCTACTCGGGGACGGACCGTCCGTCTGGTCTAGACTAGACCTGTGACGTCAGAGGACGTCGAGGACCATGCGAGGGGCAATACATTATGCGCGGGGTAGAAAGGTAATTATGGGAGGGACAGAAAAAAAATCTACTGCCTATAGGGGCGGGGTTACGCAAAAAAAATGACAAGGGTGTAACAGAAATTTCTGGCAGAATAGCTAGCTACGGGTTTCTATTTTGATTGTTATTTTTCCTTACCTTTTATACAAAAGAATTGGATTTTTTTCCCGCTGACTTTTGCCATACTGGTTTGCAAAGCAATGAAATTAGTATATGACAGTTGAGTACCTATATATAGCCCTCTTCTAAAATATACAGGAGTAAAGTTTTCAATTTTTTTGCAAGTTTACTTTTCAAAAGTATTTTGCTCAATACGGAAACCTTGCTTACCCCTCCCAGGTGCAGTGAGTTCAGAGACCCTTAAATTCCTTGACAACGCCCACCATTTAAATATTAACAGCAGCCTTTGCATATTCTTATCGAATGATAAAAGTTAAGAAACTTACGACGTGTGTCTTGATGCTCGATGGTGTGCGATGTTTCATTCGATGGAGAAGTTACATCTCAGTGTTGCTTCTCCCATCACCCAATGCACAATGTGAGCTATTTAGCAGATTCAGTTATGATTTGATTATCAAAAATAATTAATGTCGCCTTACCTTTGCTTAAAATAGATTCCATATCTTTATTTAGATTTTCTTTCTAAAATTAGATTGTTGTCCCAAGTCACGCTTATTGACGTTGACTGTTATGTAAAGCGCACGAATGTATAGGTACGGTGCGGTTGACTTTTAAACAGTTCAACTTACCTTTATAGAGTTCATGAGGTGAGTTGTTATAGTTGAATAACAGGAACTTTGATATTTTGTTAAAAGTGTGTTACAGTTGAACAATCGTGAACTTCGACCAGACACAACTTAGCACCGTGCATGACGCGCCTGCGCAATCAAGGCATACTTATATAATTGATGTTATTGAAATCACAGATTGACCAGCAGACTATGGCGTGTCAAACGTTGCAATATTCAATATTTTGCAATATATATGTTGGATGTTCATTATGTGTTTGTTATCTTTTACATTTATGTGCGATTTTCAATATAAGTGTGCGATGTTTTTCATTATTTGCGCGATGTTTAATATATTTGTGCGATGTTTTACAATATATGTGCGATGTTCAATATATGTGTGCGATGTTTGACATTTATATGCGATTTTCAATTTATATGTGCGATGTTTTTGACGATATATATGTGCGATGTTTGCAATATTATGTTTGATTTTTTTTGCATTAAATGTGCGATGTTTTTCGATACAAATTATTGTGTGTGTTGTTTTACAATATATTTGCGATATTCTCAAATATGTGAGCAATGTTTTACACATATGTTTGACATTTCGAGCTATTTGTATTCGATGTTTCATCGGTATGTTTGCATTCGATCTTTTGCAATATGCATTTGATGTTTCCCTTTCATTCGATGTTTCGTTAAGAGTCAAAGTCTGGTTACTAGACCGCGAAAGTCTGACTATTTTACCTAAAGTCAGTGTATGAGACGTCAGGGGATCGCGTGAAGTAATTAGAGCCAGACCTAAACGGTAAAAACCGGAATTGTGGGTAATTCTTTAAGCATACGCAATGCGTCCATCATTGTTTGGGCAGTACCCCCAGCTGTGCCTGTACTACCCATAGTGTTGTGTGCATCATCTATGCATTGAGGAGTGCATGACATGATGGTCTGAGCTCCAAGGCCGATGTGCACCTGTCCCAGTTACCTGATAATTTGTTAGCATAAGCTGATGTAAAATTGGGCAAAATTAGATGTTTATGAAAAAAATCAAATTGTAAGGGGTTAACCTTGCATTTTTTAGCAAAATCGGGAAAAATCAGATGTTTCTGGAAAATTGCAGATTGTATGGGGTTAGATGTTTATGAAACATTTCAAATTGTAAGGGGTGAACGTTGCATATTTTAGCGAAATTGGGCAAAATCAGATGTTTCCGAAAAATTTCAGATGTAAGGGGTTAGCCTTGCTTTTTGAATAAGATTGGGAAAAATTAGATGTTCGTTAAAAAAATTCAAATTGTAAGGGGTTAACCTTGCAATTTTTTTTTAGCAAAATAGGACACAATCAGATGATTCTGCAAAATTGCAGATTGTTAGGGCTTAACCTTGTATTTCTAGCGAAATTGGGCAAAAAGAAATGTTTATGAAAAATTTTAAATTGAAAGAGGTGTACCTTGTATGTTTAGTGAAATTTGGCAAAATCAGATTTGTATGAAAAATCTAAAATGGTAAGGGGTTAACCTTGCTTTTTTAGCAAAATTTGGAGCATATTTTACTAAAATTGGGCAAAATCAGAGGCTTCTAAAAAATCCAGATGTAAAGTTTCCGCAAAAACAGCTGTTGAAAATGAGCCCAATGTTGAACTTTACTGAGTCTGAGGTCTATCGAGGGGACGATCCTTATTTCAACTCCCGGAGATTCGCTGACAGTCTCTATTTTTCTTTTTAAGAAAGTCGAAATAGCTGAAGAGGGAGGTGAGAATCTATATGTGCCCAGATACAAAGAGTAGAAATCTACGCGTCTGCCTTTTGAAAATACACAATTGCGGTGTTCATTGTTGCGTAATGATCCGCCTAGCACACGACTGTTTTGCACATTAGGCTGTGTTATACAGCTTCCTAACAAACCAAACACACTGGGCTCATTATATCGACTTGTTTTTACCCATTTAGGTAAAGCAAATGGACCCAGTAATCTTCCTGGCGCGTTTGCTCACCTATAAAGACAACGTGTCTCAGTTTAAGGAAAATTCTAAGGTAACGAAATGGCCGAGTGGTTACGATTCGTCGTCCACGGTTAGCGGGGTCCCGGGTTCGAATCCCGCTGGTGTCTTTTTGGTTTTTAACGAATGAGTTCAATCATTTACTATAAGAGATTTAATTTCCCGTCGTAAAGTACCAACAGTACCTTAGCTTAATCGGTAAGCACTGCTGCTGGTACTGTCCGCGAGTTCCAGGTTGGCGCCTTCGTACAGGTTCAGGGCATGTGGTCCACTCGGAGGATCAGGGCTTAGGGGCCGCCCTGTTCCTCCCTTAGCTCTTTGCTTTTACATGGTGCCTGGCCCTCTGGGGTTACATGGATGGATAGGGAAGGAAGTGTGTATTGGTCGGGGACGCCGAGACCCCGGAAGAGAACTAAGGGATCGGCTGGGGCATTGTTATGGCTCAGACCGATCCCTGAAAGCTTGACTAGCACATAACTTTTTGATTTTTTTTACCCTTTTCTTTAATACTTTGGTTTAGTTTGATATCTACAGCTGCTCGGCAGGTCTACGGGTAGTATCAAAATTGAAACAAAGGTGTATGTCATAAATCAATGAATATTTCCTAACTGTCTATAATCAAAACGGAGTTTCGTTTGATCAATTTGACTATCATTATATAAGGCCAAAACAAAAAATATTCGGTCTCTGGTCAGACCAAAGTTCCGGAATTGACGCGGCCACGCGGCTTTTTTTTTTTTTTTTTTTTTTTTTCTTCAAGCTCGGATTGTACAGACAAGGTAGGTACTATTTTGCTTGTTTGGTGTCCTCAAGTACATTGGTGTCCTCCATAATTTGCCTTGGTGCTTTCGATCATTTGCCTTGGTGCAATTTCCCATTCCTTGGTGCTCTTTGGTAAAAAATTGAGGTGGTGCGGAAATAGAGGGCGCTGTTGGAGCTACCGCGGAACATTTTGGAGAAAAAAAAAGATCGACGCGCATGATTAAAATCGACGCGCGCGCTGACCAGAGCCCGACTTATTTTTTTTTTTGGCCTAATGACGCGATTGCCAATTGACGTAAGAAACGCCATAAATTATACCGGGAAAGAATAAAGATGTACATTGTAATATAAATGTTATTTATACATCTTTCAAATAACGTGTCTTTAATTGTGAGCATTCCAAACAATACAGTAATTCGCAATAGTAATAGAATGGTATATGATAGCACGATTATTGCGTCTCTATTAAATTTAAACAATATAATTTAGGCCCCTATGTGTGAAATATTCTTTGATGGACTATGAGCATTCCATAGGAATGAGTTAGTTCGCACAATATAGCAACAACAAAAGAAAAAGGAAAAGGAGAAAATTCCTTTACCCTAAAAACTGGAAATATAATTTGTTTTAAAAAAGTCAAATGGGACACTTCATGTATTGATTTAACAGTTTGCAAGGAGTTAGCCTTACATTTTTAGCAAAATTGGGAAAAATCAGATGTTTCTGGAAAATTGCAGATTGTATTGGGTTAGATGTTTATGAAACATTTCAAATTGTAAGGGGTGAACCTTGCATATTTTAGCGAAATTGGACAAAATCAGATCTTTCTGGAAAATTTCAGATTGTAAGGGGTTAACCTTGCTTTTTAGTACAATTGGAAAAATTTAAATGTTTATGAAAATTTCAGATTGTAAGGGGTTAACTTTGCATTTTTAGCAAAATTGGGCAAAGTCAGATTTGTATGAAAAATCCAAAATTGTAAGGGGTTAACCTTGCCAAAATTAGGGCAAAATCAGATGTTTCTGGAAAATTGCAGATTGAAAGGGGTTAACTTTGCTTTTTTAGTGAAATTTGGCAAAATAAGATGTGGATGAAAAATTTCAAATTGTAAGGGGTTAACCTAGCCTTTTAGTACAATTGGAAAAATTTAAATGTTTATGAAAATTTCAGATTGTAAGGGGTTAACTTTGCATTTTTAGCAAAATTGGGCAAAGTCAGATTTGTATGAAAAATCCAAAATTGTAAGGGGTTAACCTTGCCAAAATTAGGGCAAAATCAGATGTTTCTGGAAAATTGCAGATTGAAAGGGGTTAACTTTGCTTTTTTAGTGAAATTTGGCAAAGTTGGATGTTTATGAAAAATTTCAAATTGTAAGGGGTTATTAACCCTGCATTTTTGTAAACGAAATTGGGAAAATTTTCGGAAAATTGCAGAATTGTATGGGGTTAACTTGGCATTTTTAGCAAATCTGGGCAATATCAGATTTTTA